CCAGAGGGCGATATAAGCTTTTCTTTTTCCCCCGGAAAAAGTGCAACAATAACAATTGCTACGCGGCAATGAGAGTGCCTGCATATATGTATTTCTCGTGAACCGTCAGTAGATTACGTCAGTTCCCCTCGATGCGTGATTGTACGTGCCTCGACAGTCAACGCGCGCGAATCATTACCCAGGGGACACTGTAAATAATATAGCTACCCGTTGATTCTGTTCGCTTACGATTCCGCGACCGATAAAAGTTGACTCGTACCCCAAAAAAAAAGTTACAGGTGATTTAGCGTCCGGGGATTTTATGGTTTACGATCGTCTATCGTTGATAAAAATTGCCTCGTCATCGAGAGAGATTAGAGTCGAGTTAATTCCCATTGAATCTACTGTTTACGATTCTGTAACTTTGCGTTTTATACCTGATAAATATCAGTTTAGTGTTCTGGAGAAATCAACGGTGATTTAACTAATAAAAGTTGGTTGATGATCGAATGAAACAACTTAACTTCTATCGATTCTATTATTTATATTTCTGTTACATTGCATATTACAGCTGCTGAAAATCTATCCATTATCTGGAGGGTGTCAAGAACGACTTAGTTTCCATTGATGCTACTGTCTAAAGTCCCGTAACTGTATATCGTAAGTTGATAGAAATGAATTTGTTCCACAGTGAGATCATTGCTTCTATAATTAACGTCTCCATTACTATTAATCGAATATGCCTATACAGGAAGACTGTGAAGTTAGAAAGTGAACGCACGAGTCGCCGGCTGTGAATGAAAAGTAGCACAGAAACGATCTCCCGAAAGATGATAAGATTTTGGACGAATGGAACGAACAAGTCTTCGAAGGAGAATAGCAATGTTCGTATAATTACGAGCATCGAGTAAAATCTGTTTAGACTAGTGTACTAAAAAAATTGTGATTGAATATGAAGATTGAGAGTAAAAAGTAGTTCCATTCATTGAAGTATGCCATAAGGAAGTATGAAGTAATCCGCTTTCACCGGTTGAATCGCCAGACAATAATTCAAAATGCTATGAATTAATTATCTACTCTCACTAGTCGGTCCATTTGTAAGTACATAATTCCTACCCACAGTAATCGGACTGCATCTAAATAGGGTTCAAATTAATCTACTTGCATCACTTGATTTAATGTTCAGTAGCTCACACCTCTGTTTGTCAGACAATAGTCCAGAAGACTAATTCTACTTATGTTAATATTTAAGTAGTTTATACTTTCAATGGTCAAACTTCGTTCAAATGGTTACGATATGATTTAGTCGTATCACTAGATGTATTTCTAAGTAGATCAACTCATCGCTGGTCAGACACTTTACCGAAGACAATGCTCTCATTGTGGCAAGAGATGACCGTTACTTCGGGGCAACAATCATCGGAGCAGACCTAAATTATATGGCGCCTCCGCTTACCTCCGTCGTTCCATCCCCCCTACCGAAATCAGAATGCCCCACTACTGTGTACACCTTGAACGACTACCTGCTTCAACTGCACGTAACCGCTTTAAATCCTCGAACAAAATGGTAATTCCTGTCCCCTCGTGGATCTTTCATAAATTGTTTCATAAATTGTCTACGATACTCTAACCGCGGGTCCTCGGAAATGACTCAGCGTTCTTTGATTAATAGAAAGGTCTCTGTCTCGATAAATATTTACATTCTTTTACCACTACGAAGTCAGTATCCATTTTCGAAAGTCCGTTTTTAATTTCTTTAAATTACTACGAAGGCTTCTCAAAATATCATGGACTGTGCTATTTTTTTCGAATCTACAGTCACAAACGTAATTGAGCAGAATGAAACAAATATTATAATGAAACTCCATTAAATGTCCAGGCTCCTTCAAGTGCAATAAAACCCTTAATAAAGAAAATGAGTCACTGTTTACATCGTATCCAGAAAATTTGCAAAAAGAAAAATGTGAATTTACACAAGCATCCATAGTCTACTCAGACGAACGCTGAGATACCATTTTTTGGCCATTCTCCTAAATCCCTTCATAATTTGTTTCTCTCGGTTCTCCAAGAAAATGTGTAAAGATATAGTTATTTAGTTGGTAAAAGAACGATTATGGTGCCATTCTTGGTACCATTTCGATTCGACGATCCATGTATTTATCGCGGTGCCAATTGTACAATACATTTTAGACGTAATCGTGAACGAATTGGAAGGTGTTGCGGTAGTTACTGGCCAACAAATCCCGCGACATCGAGACGACGAGATGGCCGATTTTAAGCTACGAAAGAGCGATGATCAACAGATCATGAAAGCGAACGACCAAGATTCCTCCGGAGGACGCACACAAGTGGTTGAGAAAGATCGACTGTGGACAGACCCTGACTTTTCGACCCGCGGCACGATGACTCGTGGACCATTGATCGTCTCTCGTGTTCTTATATCCTCGTCCTTCGACTCTAACATATGGCCATCCTGTCGAGACTCACTCTATTTCGCAACCCTCGTCACCACGGAGGGTCGTGCCGCAACGTACACGCGGGCCAAGATCTTTCCCACGGTTGTTCGAAAGTACGTTGAGACTTTGAATGATTTTTTTTAAATGGATGTGAGATTTAGATTACTATAGACTATTCAACTCTATAAAAAGTAAATAAAGATAATGGTATTATGCATTATTGTTTAGACTCCAGCAAATTTTGAAACTTAAAATTTAGAAACAAATTAACTACATATGGTGAATCATGTAAGATGTAGGAATACATAAAAACAAATTTACCGAGAAGTGTACAAAAGATGGAGTAGATCGGTCGATTGATTGCAAATACAATACTTTCTGGAGCCACTGTAAATGGTCAGAGCATTTGATTTAAACGAATACGTAACTGTACTGTTACTATAATGCCAGATTATCTTTTTGTGGGCCTCTAGGAACCGTTGGATCGATACACAAAACGTCGCCAATAACTCAGAACTTTCGCTCTTCCTTTCTTCACCGGAGCTTTCACGCTTTTACGCGTATCCTTGGTCGCGTTCACTGTTTCGACAACGAGAATTGTTTTAAGAGAGAACTCTTTCAAGCGTACTTTATGAATCGATTGAATTCTTGAAAAGGAGATCGGGCACAGAAGACCCTGGACTTAAACTTGTATAAATAACAAAATTATCGAAATCGACGATATGTATGAAGAGGAGTAAATTTGTTATGAGCCTTCGACAGTCCAGAGTTGATTGAGACGAGTCAGGTGCGTTGCACCTGAGAAAGCAGTCAGAAGAATGAATAAACGCGTTGATGACTTAAGGTCAAACGTATACGGAGGTAAGGCAGGTGTCGTCACGACGGAACAAACATGATTTATGATCGAAACATAACAGTGTACGTCTCTTAATCATCTTGTACTTTCTACTGACTGATTAGTCGATACTGTACGAAGTCTCCAATAAGAATTGAAGATTGAAATTCGGGTCGATTCTCGTGTCTTCTATTAATTCGTACTTTTAGGTACTATTTATGATAATATCCTCTCTCTTTTTATTGTTTATTATTACAATTCTAAGAAGACATAGCTCGGAACCGTTGTGAAAATGAAAATATCCCCTTCGTGCGAATGTTAGCATCAATAATAATTACAAAAAACCCAATATACAGACCGACGAACAGTTGGAAAAGACTAAAAAAAAGAAACTATCGTACAAAAAGATCTACTCTCTGAAATATAAAACACTATGTTTTCTCTTCTTGTAAAATAGATTGATGTCTTGACAATATGTAGACATCACCAATTGATTTTGTTTTATTTTTTCATTTAATATATCTATTCCGAGCGTTTAAAAAAAAATTCAATTACCATTTAAAGTGACAATGATATCGTAATACAGAGTAACTATGATTACCAATATCTTACATTAAAGATTATTATCCTATCACGACGGACGAGAGGAATCACGAAGTAGGAGCGTCTCAAACGATCGAATCAATTTGTAGGGGATGCATACTGTTCATACAATATGATATATAAAAATCCGTTTTACGTTTATTCAAATACCTTCGTTTCTCTCGCTGTCCCTCCCGATTGCGATTGACACCGTGTACGGTGCAGGCTGGACGTTCGGGAGACGAAAACTTTCACGCGCGTGCTAGTGCGACCGTTACACTCGGCACGATGTTGCACTCGCGGACGCCCAAAAGAAACTGAAAGTCCCGTTTCATCGTCCCATAAACCCGGCCGGCCTAGTGAAGCCTCTCCATCGGTCTTGGGCCAGTACCTGCATAAAGAACATGATATGTCGATTGCTAATTGGACGAAAAGTATAACTAGCATCATTTGACCATTCCGGGTTCTATTGTCTGAGACCACAAATTTTATCTACGCTAATAATCTTTGGATATTCTGAATCCTATTCACCTGTTAATTTATTAAAAAATATACTACATATTGTTTATTGTAACTTATACTAAAAGCTCTGAAATTGTAACGATTGGAATTTTAATGTAATGCGACATAATATTTTTTATTCTTCCGAGGCAGGACGATGATTTCTAAATAACTACATGGTCTGAATGATATTAAAATGATGGTGAAACTGTAATATCTGTATTAATGCGATTATAAAATCGACGTTATTTCCTTTATGTATTTTGTAATTTTGTGTCCGCTAAATATTAATTTCAGGTCGTGAAGATGTATAAACAGATTTTTTCAGTACAAAATATTTAGCAATATATTACCAGAATTTGTTAATTTAAGTTAAATAATAACGTTCGTGAATTATATATTAGAGTTGATAGAAAATGAACCAAATTTTTTGAAAAAAAAGAAGTAAAACGTTCTATAGAGCCGATTTCAAATATGTATCGATATTTGGCGATATACCTATCGATAGACTGTTCGATATATAATCGATGTGTAAACGTATTATCGACTTGTGTATGTTGTATCGCTGATATATTTGATAATCGATAGAATCTATCGGATAGATAATGGAATATACACAACATGCTTGGTGTGGGTGATTGGGTAAAACGGGTAGAGTGTGGTGTAGTGTTTATGGTTAAATTGTAAATAGATATTTTCTTTAATAATGGCAAATTTCACTGACGATTTGTTCGATGTTTTCGAAGAAACAGAGGAAATAAGAGTAGTAAGGCTCAGTCCAGTTAAGCAAAGCGCTTTAAGTACATCTTTAGATAAAGAGTAAGTATTCGATTTCTTCCTAACCTCTATGCGATATAACCTTACAAATAAATATAAAATGTGTTTTCCGTAACTTTTCAAACGAATATAGTAATGCCGATGCAGAAGGTGGAACGAAACGGGGATTGCAAAATGATTCTGCCAAAATAATTGCGAAAAAATTAAAGCCTGATTCCTTGTTAGAAGACCTAAAGTAAGATACGATAACTGATTTTGAACATTAATTTCCTTAAGTTTAATACAAACACATTATCTTGAGAATTGGTGTTTCTCGCTCATACAGCATAGAAGATTTGGCTCCACGTATCAAAATACACACTATAGAGACAATTGAATTATGCACACATGAAGTTGCTGTCCCACCGGATTATGAGTATACCACATTGAGAAATAAACAAGGGAAAGCAGCTAAAACATACAAATTTGTACTGGATCCTTTCCAGAAGGAAGCAATATTGTGCATAGAAAACAATCAATCTGTTTTAGTCTCTGCCCATACATCGGCCGGTAAAACTGTTGTTGCAGAGTATGTGTTATAATAAAAACTAATTATACCCAAGTTCACAAGTTTTGCCTCATTAAATAAATTGAGAGTAACTCGTAGCAATTGTAGAGCTCACAGCTTTATGTTTTAAATTATAAAAACTTGTCAACTTGAGCATAGTTTTTAAAAGAACCCATTATCAGCAGTTTGTTTTACAGATATGCTATAGCATGTTCCTTAAGAGACAAGCAAAGAGTAATTTATACTACTCCTATAAAGGCATTGAGTAATCAAAAATACAGGGAGTTCTTTGAGGAGTTTAAGGATGTTGGTTTGGTGACTGGTGATGTTACTATTAATCCTACAGCCAGTGTGTTAATTATGACTACTGAAATTTTAAGAAATATGCTTTACAGAGGATCTGAGGTTTTGTCAAAATCTGAGTTATATTTTTACATTCAGCTCATTTGATTCATACCATACTGATGAAATATTTTTAAGAGAGCCCTATATAAATTCTAACTTACTTAGTGAAATACAATAACTATGTTGAATTATCAGTAGAAAATTATGGATTAGCTTACTTGTTGTCGTGTGAGTATGGTAAGAAACAAATAAGTTGGATGTACATGAATTGTTACATTTATGACAATACTGATGATGGATTTAATATTTAGGTAATGCGTGAAGTTGGTTGGGTGATTTTTGACGAAATTCATTATATGCGTGACAAAGAAAGAGGTGTAGTGTGGGAAGAAACATTAATATTATTACCAGACAATGTGCATTACGTATTTCTTTCTGCTACTATACCCAATGCAAGACAGTTTGTAGAGTGGGTCGCACATTTACATAAACAACCGTGTCATGTTGTTTACACAGACTATAGACCGACACCGTTACAACATTACATATTTCCCGTTGGCGGGGACGGAATTCATTTGGTTTGTAGAGCCTAAAAAAATCACTTTTTGTGAAACCAAAAAACTTACATTCACTTATTAATACGTAGGTTGTAGATGAATTGGGACAATTTAAAGAAGACAATTTCAACAGAGCAATAGCTTGCTTGCAACACAGCGATGCAGCTAAAGGAGACACGAAAGGACGGAAAGGGGGTCTTCGAGCAACGAATGCTGGACAGACAAATATTTTCAAAATGGTTAAAATGATTATGGAAAGGAATTTTGCTCCTGTAATTATATTCAGTTTCTCAAAGAAAGACTGTGAGATCTACGCAATGCAACTGGCCAAACTAGATTTGAACACAATAGAAGAGAAAAAGTTGGTGGACGAAGTATTCAACAATGCTATGGATGTTCTTAGTGAAGAGGATAGACGTTTACCACAAGTGGAGAATGTCTTGCCACTACTGAAACGTGGAATAGGAATCCATCATGGTGGACTTCTACCTATTCTGAAAGAAACTGTGGAGATATTGTTCGGCGAAGGTTTAATAAAAGCACTTTTCGCAACTGAAACTTTTGCAATGGGCTTGAACATGCCAGCGCGAACAGTATTATTCACTGCATCCCGAAAATTCGATGGTAAAGACTTCCGTTGGATTACTTCCGGAGAGTATATACAAATGGCTGGTCGAGCGGGTAGGAGAGGCTTGGACGAAAAAGGAATAGTAATAATAATGATTGACGAACAAGTTAGTCCCGTTGTCGGTAAAGCGATTGTACAAGGAAGACCAGATCCTATCAATTCAGCATTCCATTTAACTTACAATATGGTGCTGAATCTTCTAAGAGTCGAAGAAATTAATCCAGAATACATGCTTGAGAGGAGTTTCTATCAATTTCAAAATCAAGCATCTATTCCTGACTTATACAACAGTAAGTAGATTGTTTATTTCCCAATTACATATTACAATTTCGTATAAAATTATTCTTACCAATTATTACAGAGGTGAAAGAACTGCAAGCAACATATAACGCAGTGAATATTGAAAAGTATAGTCAAATATCATCTTACCATGACATACGTGAACAACTTGAACGCCTAACTACTGAATTTCGATCTTTCTTGACGAAACCAGAGTACTTACTACCTTTCCTACAGCCTGGAAGGCTGGTGAAAGTACGTTATTTACATACGCTTACATATGACAACACTATTTTTCTAAAATTCTGATAATTATAGGTGAAAAATGAAAATGAAATGTTTGATTGGGGTATTATTGTAAACTTCAAGAAAAAGAATCCGAAGAATCCAACAAAGGAAAGCACCATTATTATCATTGACATTTTACTTCATATTTCTAAAGAATCCAGCGAAGGGTGTCCTGTACCTTGTCGAGAAGGGGAAGAGGGTGAGGTTGAAGTGGTGCCTGTCTTGCATACATTAATTTCTCAAATAAGTTCTCTTAGGTTGTACTATCCAAAAGATCTAAGACCATCAGATAACCGGAAAAGTGTACTGAAAACAATACAGGAAGTTAAGAAAAGATTTCCCGATGGACCACCCCTACTCAATCCTATTACAGACATGCACATAGAAGATGAAGCATTTAAGGATATTGTTAAGAAAATTGAAGTCCTTGAAGAGAGACTATATGGTCATCCACTGCATAAGGTAAATTATTCTACTAGTCTAATTTTTAATTCTTCATCACAATGAGAATAAATGTTCTATTTCACTTGAATATAGGATCCCAATATTAATACACTATACGAACAATTTATGCACAAAGAGGATTTGGGTAATCAATTGAAACAGGCCAAAGTAGAATTGAAACGAGCCAAATCGATACTTCAAATGGACGAATTGAAATGTAGAAAAAGGGTATTACGAAGATTGGCCTATTGTACGGCGTCTGATGTTATAGAATTAAAGGGCCGAGTGGCTTGCGAACTTAATGGTGCCGATGAATTGTTAATGACAGAAATGATTTTTAATGGATTGTTCAACTCGCTAAGTGTACCACAGATGGTCGCGTTAATCAGTTGTTTCGTTTGCGATGATAAATCAAACGAAATGCCTAAGAGTACCGAGGAATTGAGTGGTCCGCTCAGACAAATGCAAGATTTGGCTCGGAGAATAGCAAAGGTATCCACAGAAGCTAATCTAGAGTTGGATGAGGACGCATACGCGGAAAGATTTAAACCGTACCTAATGGACGTAGTATATGCTTGGAGTAAAGGGGCTACTTTCTTACAAATTTGTAAAATGACAGATATATTTGAAGGTATATTGCAGATTTTTATTTTTCTCATTGTATTACAAACGAAGTGTAGGATAGATAGAACATCTACTGTATTTTCGTGTCACACATTTCGTGATTTTATCAGAAACAATATGAATGGTCTAGTCATATGTTTAGTGTGTTATTTCCTACCAATTTTTCTATGACTGGGTCGAATATTGTTCCCAACATAACCATTCTTGATTGTAGATGGTGCACTAAAGTATGAATTTTTTTATTTGCACTTTAGGACATGTGACACAAACTCTCATAAAATGTTGTATCTGTCGTATGCCTCGTCTGTCGTTCTATATTCATATTTAATTCCTCCCCGGTTAACTTAATTTTAATTTCTTCATCCTAGGTTCAATTATACGATGCATGCGTCGTTTAGAGGAAGTTCTTAGGCAATTGTGTCAAGCAGCGAAGAACATTGGAAATACGGACTTAGAGAATAAATTTAGTGAAGCGATTAAACTTATAAAACGTGATATTGTCTTCGCTTCGTCTTTATATTTATAATAAAATTCTTAGAAAGAGTGCTATTATTTAAAATATATTTTTTTTTATTACGAGTTCCATTTATATATCTTTTACAAATTAAGCTCTTTTTCAACACACTTCGAGATACTTGATAACACAACGACAAACAAAAGACAGCTTTTGTTTGAGGTTTTTCAGAATGTAATTTATTTATAGGAATTTAAAATATACAATGCACATGCATGGAAAGAACTTCTTTTTTTTTATATGTATATATAATATAAAACTACATTTGTCGTACGAATTAATAGTACGAAAAGATACAGCATAAAAATGTAGTTGCATAATAAACAGAACTCATATTAACTGACAACTATTCGAAACTTGTTAAATAAATAACACTTTCAGAATATTGCGATGCTTAATTTCTACATTTTAATTTAATTACAACAAATTACTTATACTTATCGTTCTTCTAAAATTACCGTTTCTTGAGGACAGAATTTTAGATCCATGAGAGTGAGTTTTGAGTCCATGGATGTTAACTAAAAAAGACACATACCTTCGATGATGCATATAAGTCTTGAAAGAATATTTAAATTTCTCGTAAAAATGTGAATATAATTTTAGTTTCATTGTATTTAACGCGACATTCCACACACGTAAAGAAATATCTATATAATAAGGCCCAAATGCTTACATCATCTACTTACATCCCTTCGAGGCCAACTACATAGGACCTTGTATTCTTCTGTAGGATAACCTTCCACTATGAGGAAATTGAGAAGCGTTTGCAACGGTGTATCCGACTGAAATTTGCGCTCCAAGAATTTCCCAGCCGGTAGCCGTACTCTAACCTTCAGCACACCATCACCAGCTCCCTGTTGCGGTTCAGGAGGTAAACTCGATTCTACAGCTTGTCTATGAGCTTCTTTCCTTGCTATTTCAACCATCTTTTCATTGTCTGCTTCCTCTTTTTTTCTCTTTTCCAATTCCTCTTCCATTTTCTTTTGTTCTTTCGCTTTTTCTTTCGCTCTGTACAATAATATACATTTTATGAAATCATGTTGGATTCTATTACAACAATTTATTATTCTCAATTTACCTGTCCGCGGCTAGACTTTCTTGATACGCTCTATCTTGCTCCTGCTTTACTCTTTCTCTAGCTTGCCTCTCTTCTTCCACTCCAATATCAGCACGTCTATGCTCCTATTGTATTAAAAGAAACGGTTACATTAAAATACAACTCAAAGTCGTGTATTACTTTCATACAATAATTTCCTTTTACCTGAAATACATCTACCGCGTGAATTAAGTTAGTCAGTAGTTCACTGACTCCCACATTGCCGTGGACTGTTGTAAATATTTCTGTATTGGATCTAATTCTCATTATAATTACAAGAACAGGCAATGTATCAACGTCTATATTCTTCATAGCTAACGCTGCGACCGATCCTAGTGTCTGTTTTACAGATAAAAGAAACCTGCAAATCAAGAGTAACTTCTTATAAAGCAATATCTAATTAAATAAAAATAGTTTATGCATTTTCATACATACCTCTGCTTATTAGACTCGTAAGTAATATCCCAACCCCATACAATGAAATTTGCTGATAACACTTGGAGTACTGTTTCAAAGCCTAATAACTGTGTGCAAAATACATTCGCTAGAACGCTATTATCATGATGTAAATACACAGCCAACAATTTTCTCTGTAATAATTTAAATTTATAATATTTCGCAGGAGACAATCGCTTATAGTTACCGATTCAAGTTACGAACCTCTTTTGCAGGTTTTAAACACGATTCTTTAACAGCATCTTTAAATCTGCCAGTAAAAAATTCTGGATGTGCCTGTCCGTATCGTTTTTCAAATTCCTCTGCAAACTGCATTGTGCCCACCGTTTCATCCGTTACGTTTTCAGGCACTACAAAAGGAAAGTAATTTTGAATGTCTGAATTTAATAACAGTTAATGAAAAATCAAATTTACTTACTGAGACGCTGAATTTTAGTAGATTTAATTTCTAAGAAAATATCATCATCAACGTTGAATGATTCGGGATCCTCCACGTCATACGCTTCATCTACAGAACTATCACTTCCAACCAGGTCTATAACGTCCTAAGAGTAAAAGTAAAAGGATTTATGAAAAAAGCATCAAATTTGAATTTTCAGAAAAATAGAACGTCATTTTTTCAAATCCCTAATTTCATTACAATTTAATAAATCTATCTGATTTGTAGCTCAATATGTATAGAAATGTAAAGAGGTTCCATCTATTGACATTAAGGTACAGTACCTTCTTTTCCGCTTTGGAAGGTAACTCAGCAACGGAAAGATCATGTTCAGGGTAAGAAATTCCAGCTTGTGCTAGCGTCATGCTATCATTTTTTACTGAACTTGGCCAGCCTTTCCACTGCTGATTTCGAACAGGAACATCTATTAACGCGTGAATACCTAACTTTACATCCAAAACTGTGTTCGAACCAAGAAACTTTAAATTATATGTTTTCTTGCCCGCTTCATCTTTGATGTTTAAGGTATATGTTTGAGTCATACGCTCTGATAAACGTCCACTGTAATATATGATAAATATACCAGAATTGCCAACAATACTGTAAGCCTATTTTCTCATAAATGTACTTACTTATCAGTTGTTAGATCAACATCTTCTGATAAACAAGTCATGTACAAAGTATTCTCTTTTGGCAAATCTAATGATTGTAATGATGTAGAAGGTGATTCTGGAATTGATTTCCATCCGTGAAGACGTTGCTGACAATGTGGGACATTTGTTTGTTCCCATATAAGCTGTTTGAGATCTCCTAGAAACAACACATTTCAATTAAATAGAAACAGTAACAATGTTAATAAAGAATGGCCAAGGCAGCATATTGATTACTTACTCACACATGAGGACTCAGGTAGATTTATTTTATAAACATTACTAAGGTAGTTAACACGGAATGTGAGTGTTCTTTCTCTGGTACAATTTTTAGATTTACTTGTTCCAGGCTTTGAATTTTCTACAACATCCATTTTCAAACAATTACTTGAATCATTAACATTTTGTGACAACGATGAAGATGAATGTGGCATCCTTTCAATTTCTTCAATCATTTCTATTTCAGGACTCATTTCTGAGGGTAATTGTTGTGTAACTCTAGGCATGGCCTGATTTACTGCTGACTATATGAAATAGTAAAATATTATATTAAATTAAACGCTACATAAGAATAAATTTACAAATGTACTTACCAATAGATCCCAATTGGATTCCTCTAAAAATTTAATGGCATCTCCAACATCATCAATCCCAGTACAAGCCTAAACATAATATACCATAATCACTTGAATATCTTCTAAATAAATGGTACTGTATCAAACACATTACACACAATCAGAATGGAACCAACTTTAGATCATTATGTAGGACATGTTCTAATTAAACTGTTTTATACTTGGTTCTATATGAACAAAATTTTTCAGCGATTTAAACAAAAATTCATGATTCACATACACAATTGTACAAAGAGACAAAGAAACTGGACATGCAGAAAAACGATTAAAATTACATGCTAGGAAACAGTGAAAAATGTTATTTGTGCTTTCTTCAAAATTTCCAAAGGCTATGAAAATTTTGACAGATTTGAGACAAAACAATAAGAAAATGTTGCACGATACACATAGATTTCAACTATTGTCAATGTCATCACTACATATATCATAACCTAAAACTTTATTTGTGTTTAGAAATTAACGGGAAATTGAGACTTGAATGGATCACCTGAAAGTCAGCCAAAATCTCGTCCCGTGTACCAGCCATCGTGTCCAGGATTACTGTCAAATTTGAGCAAATCTGCGAACCACCAAAGCTACTTTGTTACCTCGCCAATCGTTACAAGCAACATGCACAACGAACGCAAGCCATTGACGTCTCAAACCTCACGCTAGCTTGAAACGAACATTGAACCATCTATAGTGTTTATATATTTCCCTTTGCGACATCAAACAATTGTTCGTATATCGGCCGATATCAGAGGAGATATTCTCTCTCCCCGGCTTAACGTTCTCCAATACACGCGAAAAATTACGATTGGTTGGACCTGAAATCGTTATAAGTGTCCTCCAATCATATTCGAAAGATGAACAAAACATATTTGTATGTGTATTTCAGAACTGCGGATTTTATGCAACCATATTATGGTTTACAAGGCATGCAAAATGCGTAAAACACAATGATACAATCAAATTTGACTGATGTTAGAATATTTACCATTTTTTAACTTTAACAAATTCTTTAACGTATTAATTAATTGATGACATCAATTTTTTCTTGTAAATTTTGTTCTTATAAAATAACGTTTAAAAATAAAAACTTACATATATAAATATATTCGCAATTTATAAGGTAAATGTCTACCACAATATTCACAATATGTAGTATCCCCATATAATTGCGCTACTCGCTTCACATGTAACACGATTATAAAAAACACTTATAGTACTATACGATTTTGCAATTGTTTTATTGGCAGACAATTTAATTCCGTTTTCTTGACAGACAAACAGAGGTACTATAGTATCTAACAATAAGTAGCTGCCTTAGTTATTGTTAATAATTGGTTAATAAGGTTCTTGGTGGCATATATACTTATACATAGATCTAAACGTATGACAATAAGGCAAAAGATTGGACTTATATGGAGTAATTCATCGAAGTCTTCTGCATTAATATTCTTCAGTAATAGTTACTGTTTCTTGTTTTTCAATTAATATTCAATTTTTTAATGAAACTGGCGGCGAAAAAGTGTTGTCGTACCATCTAAGACTAAAAGATGAACTAATTGAATAAAACCTTTAACATTTTACCGTAGATGGCATAGTAGGTTCTTTCACCACATTTATGACATTTACCAACATAGATATTTAACAATTTATAGAAACTAGAGTGAAATATGTATAAATTTCTTTAATCTAATAAAGAGTCTATCGTGTTGCAAATAAAATAAAAACCACAATTAACCTTGTGAAACTTTTAATCGTCTGGGTTTTAAACAATCATGTATTTGATGAATGCGTAAAATCTACAATGTATTATTACGTTCCTATAACAGTAAATAGTAGTCAAAAACACAAAACTAACGATTGTTGAAGCACTATACCGATTTAGGGGAATTCCACATACAGTCTAACAGTATTGGAGGAAATTTTTATCACAATTGGACGGTTTTTCTGTATTTTTTCAAAAGATATTATATGCATTAAATATTATGGCATAGAGAGGAGTCCCAATGATATTGATGAATAAACCGTGGATGCTTATGCAAGTTTTTTGCAAAATATTTTTCCAATTAATAAACCATTTGTAATTACAATAATTTATAAAGTCACATATAAAATGAAAATTTCCATGATTGTAAATACGGCTCCTGTTTTATTGCGTTTTAAACATTCGAATGTGAGCAAACACATAAAATCCACAGTTTATCGATGACTTTTGAGTTGATAATACAGGGTAGACAATTATTTTGATTGCTCTGTGCAGTCCTGTGTATGTAAATGGAATACGGGCTTAATCACGCGATATGAAAAAAGGAACTTTAGAACCGTGACGGCAACAGAAACGGTTTGTCCTCCGTCCACGTGAGATCAGTCGTAATTCAGGGTAGTTGTTTCCATTGTCAAAAAGAGTTTTGTTGCGTGCATCATAGTCCGCGCGCGTGGCCGATAGAGGAAGAAAAGATTTTTTTTATGCCTTCCACGCCGGGCACCACCACTTTATCATGATTAAATTATTCTCGTTAAAACAGGCGAAAAAGGACGGCGAGTCGCCGAAACCTGGCACCCAAAAGAAGGCATCCGCGGCACAACTCAGAATTACAAAAGGTTTCATTGACGACCTTTTATCGTCTTCCTTTCAATTTTCTTTTCTAATTCTGTCAATTATTAGCTCCTTTAACACACAAAAAAATCAAGCTTACTGCGTGCACAACTTACTCCAAAATTTTTTAATGTTTTTACCTGTTAAACGTTTTCTAATTGATCGCTTCAAACAACTGTTATTTCGTCACTGTTATTTTTGTATCATTATGCTTTTAAGACTACATTTTGCTATTTACGATTCTCTTACTCTGATGCAAATTTATATGTAACATATGCAGGTTAATATTTTCTTCAAGCAACTTGCTAAGCATTTAGTACGTGCATAGTTGCCTTATGAACAAAATTCAAAATCTTATTGCACCGAAAAACAAGAATTAGTTCAAATATAATCCTATTAGAAATTGTTAATATAGAAAGAAATATATTATTGTTAGTCAAACTTAAATTGTGCACTATATTATTGTTTTCTTCAAAGTATGTAACCATAAGATGCAATAAAGCTACATACATGAGATTCTGAGTATATTGTTCTTAAGTTTAAGTAAAAATAATTTATATAATTCAGGAATGAAATATATTATTTCATTAGAATATAGATTCGACCTTTAAGTGACCTTAAAAATTTATTTCAAAGTATTTTTTATTTTAATTTATTGAATAAGATATTATCAGAATATTCATACTGGAGACTGTTTCTCAATAAATAGGAAAATATTCTAAAACTTTTTTTTTCCACAGATATAAATGAGCTAAATTTACCAAAAACATGTGGAACAGAGTTTCCTGATCCAGATGATCTTCTGAGTTTTAAATTAATTATTTGTCCAGATGAGGTAAGATTTTTTTAGATGCAATATAGTTCTGTAAATTGACTAAATACGATTTCTTATCTTTTTTAAGGGATTCTATAGGGGTGGTAGATTTGTTTTCAGTTTTAAAGTTGGACCAAATTATCCACATGAACCACCAAAAGTAAAGTGTGAGACACAAGTTTATCATCCTAATATTGACTTAGACGGCAATGTGTGTCTGAATATCTTAAGAGAAGATTGGAAACCAGTCCTTACAATTAACTCTATTGTCTATGGGCTACAATATCTATTCTTGGTACTTAATTTAATATATTGAAGGAATCTTTTAGTCTAAATTATCATCAACACAAATAAGTATGTTGATTGAAAGATACTCGTGTAAAAGAAATTTCAGAGTTTCGTGTTTGGATCAATATAGTTATAACCAATGCTATGAAAAGAAGCAAAAGCATTGAAAATTATGAAAATGACAATACATTATTAGTGTACTTTCACATTATTATAATGAATTCTGGGTACAATTCTTAGCAACATGTTCTTAGACTAAAAGATTCCGTTAATTACATTCATTAGACAAAAAAATAAGTTGCATGTATTAAGAGTACATTATTGTCTGTTTAGGAGCCTAATCCAGAAGATCCGTTAAATAAAGATGCTGCAGAGGTTCTGCAAAGCAATAGGAGAGCATTTGAGCAAAATGTAGCAAAAGCGATGAGAGGTGGCAATGTTGGCTCGTGCTATTTCGAACGGTGTCTCAAGTGAAATAGCGCTCGTTTCCTTCGGGGACACACTGAGGAAAGAGATCGAGAGTAGAACATCTCCCTACTCTGAACGCGTTCCTCTCGTCTATCACATTCATTTGTCGATGGACCTTTGTGCGTCTTCTTGATCTCGAGTGCTTCGTACCCTTGGTCGATGAACCATCGGTAGAAAAAAAAGGCAAAAATAAAATGCGACAACAATACGTCGTTCTCGGAGTTGTGGGATACCTTTTTTCTTTTTCTCGTTCTCTCTTTCACTCAGTATTCTGCGGAGGATCGAAGTTGTCTACACGCTTGCAAGTTTCTTACTAGGTCGATAATGCATTAGTAAATACAATTAAAATGGAACGTACTACCAAATAGAGATTGTTAGAAAGATTTCTTAGAAAAAATGCATCTGTGATTACAAATATTACCACTACTCTTTATTGTAAATGTATTTTTGGCCACGATCGTCCTCCTCTTGCGAGTGTATCTGCGATGATTCAAGTTCATTGTAAATTTATATTTAATTAGAATTGCGGTACCTGTGCCATCGGAAACACCAGCAATCATCACAACTGGTCAAGGAGTTCTGATCAAAATTATTGCAGCTTCTCGCGAGGAGTCACTGTTGATTACGATCGTCGTCAAAAGATGGATAATAAGAATTAACAAAAGAACATGTATATAGATGTGCAACGTATGTATGAGATTTGCAAACGCATATGCAATAGCGATCATCGCAGCTTCTTTCACGAACGTATCTCCGCCCTGAGAATCACAGTTCGCAGGATATACATTATTTTCCATGAATGGATATATCCTGCTACGCTCTTTATCGGAAACACGTAATTTAATTTATGTATCGATCGAAAGTGGAATATAAGGCTGTTAAGGAAAAACTTTTGTATTTTAATCTGTATTCATCATAATCCTAAAATCATAGCACTATCAACACTGGGGTAACATTCGTTATGGCGATAATTAATTGCTATATGGACACAGGATGTTAATCATGAAAGTTACGAACATCCGTTTTTATGGGGTGTAGTCTAAAAAATAGACGACGATTGTTGTTTCAATGCTCTCGTTTTCACGACCTAAAGAAACAGTAACAGACGTAATAAAATATGTAATAATATCATTTTAAATGACTTACAGACTTTTTACATGTACACGTTTAATAAGGCAAACATATGAACTTTACAGAATATTTTAAGCTCCAGCAATGATTTCGTAATTATTCCAAACGAACATTTTCAAAAAATAGTCGGAGTTACATTTTATACAATTAAACTCGCAACGAGTCCATAATTATCTACTTAAATTGTAAATCTGTAATATGAAACGTGATTTAAATTGAAAAGAAAATGTACAAATGGAGACAATGTCGTTCTACATGGTCAATTTACCAGCATTATTCAAATGTTGTTTATATACAATTCATTATGAAATCTGTATCAATTAATGGAATCAAGGCTGCAATGTCCTGAATTAAGCATATCATCTTTGAATTAGCATTAATTTATTATACTTTAGTACAGTGCTTACGAGAAACTTACAAACTAGAGAAGCGTCCTAGCCTCGATCCAATTTGCTGTCCTTAATTTAGGTCCCATCTGCGTCGAGCATGTTTTGAAGGCACTTTTTCGAGCGCTTCAAGAGCGATCGAACTACTTTCTCCTTTTTGATCTGCTTCTTCCTTCTCTCTCTCTCTCTCTCTCTCTCTCTCTCTCTCTCTCGCTCTCGCTCTCAATCACGCATCTGCAAATACATACGGTACATGTCTCACTCTCTGTCATACTTGTTGCTTTCATTCTCGCACGAAAACCGTTTCCTTTCTCGTACAAAAAAAGATTCGATCGCGCTGGACAATGGATTGGTCTGAGCTCGGCGAAGAAGCACGGCGATTTGGATATCGAGATAAGAACATATTCCCTGGAATCTGGAAATCGAAATATACAAATAATCAAGAAAAGATGAAAATTTTTTTATACGACAAAATAGAATTTACTATAATTTTGTAGTTAGTTCAGTTAGTTTTTCATGTACTCTGTGATCAAATTACGTTTTATTAGCGTGCATTATGAGAAGACGCGTGCTTCTCCGCAGATTCCATCGTGGAATGAATTTCCAAACGCTCGAAAGGATGCTATCATTGTTGTATACCGAGGTATGGTTATGAAAAGCCGGAAAATGTAATGAAACAAACAAAAAAGCGGCGCTCTCGTGTTTTGACTTGACTCATGATGCAACTCGGTTTCGACTCGAAATGGGAACGTGTTATTGTGTCGTTAAGGATACTTGACTTGGATGCTTCGCAATTTATTTACTTACTTAAGCTAAAAATATAAACGACCGGGAGTCTTTATCGGGTCAGAGGCGTTCCACCGAAGTTAAACGATGTAGGTACAGTCTGAGAGTGGAAAGCATATCCTAGAAAAAGGATAAAATAAGAATTAGTTTCATAATACTTGGGATTTATTTGTGTTAGAGATAAAAAAAGCAATTTTCCTTCATTAACAATTTGTTCTAGAAATGTGAAATATTTCTTTTGAAGAGACAAAATGCTTTTAAATGTTTTTTATAATTCTCAAAGAAATCTAATTGGAATTGATATTGAATTAGTCTAAAGAACTCACCCCCACTCTGTTCAATTCTTTTACTTTCTAGAGCTGCTTTGCGTTGATCTGCGAGGAGGATAATTTCCTGTAACGCCTTTTGTTGTTCCGAAGTCAAGTGATCAGTTAATACTCTATACCAAACTGTGTCTGATACCTCAATATCTAAAATCATAAATGAAAATATTATATGCGTATACATACATATATATACTTAATAAATGTATTTATGAACATGAATCTGCTTACTTTGCATAACTTCTTTGAAAACAATATATTCATCTTGGTTCGTGTCTTCCGAATCTAAAGGTGTTACATAACATTCAAGAGGAGTTTCCTCATTGGCATCGTATTCGGAATCGTCACCGTCATCGTCTGATCCACGATCACCATGACCATCTTGAATAGAGGCTGATACATTGAAACCATGTTGCGTGGACGACCTTGTCACTTTTTCTTGTAGCTTCTCCAAATATTCTTGACTAGCATCATCGATTTCATCTTCATCCGATGATAATACCTCTGTCAAAGTATAACAAAATTTGTTATAATAGATAACAATGTAGTTAAGATAAAATAACAAGGAAAATGGTTAACCTCGCTACTTTTCCCTACTTTTTTGAACACCTTCAAAGGGCGTGAGTTCTGACTTAACACAGATGAAAATTACCTTCGTCGAGATCGCTATCGTCGTCGTCGTTTTCTTCGTCATCTGTGTCAGACACTTTAGCCGCATAGGCCCTCTTTAAACCATCGAAAAGTAGGATTAAAGACGGTATGATTTGTTGAGCACATTCATTTACTGCTGCTGGTCTCGCCGGACCCATACTAATTAAAGTACACAGTCCAAGAACACAGAGCTTCCTGTCGTGTAATCTGGATACATGCAGATTTTTTGTGTGTATTAAACGGTTTGATTAACAATAAGCAAATATTTAATTGTATTCAATATGCATTGAGTTTTAGGAATATTAGGAAGCATTAATAATATGTCGACTACTAAGGTACTTTTCTTATTAAAACTGGGTACAATTACTATTACTGAAACTATACAACACTTACCCCAAGAAACAGTCTGTGTCATGTATCCATTGCTTGATAAAGTGAGATGCAATTGGTTCTGTTGACTGCCCGAAGTTTCCTTGCAATCTATCCATTGTTTCGAGACACAATGCTGGATTGTAATAAAGAGCCGCTATCACTACTTGCAAACACATTGTTCTTAACTCAGAGGTTTTCACTTCACGCATTAAGCGCTCCAGTACCAATTGCACGAGGGAAGGTATACACTAAAAAAAATTACGTTCAATCCGTTAGTTTGAAAATCAAAGTACTTGTCGATATAAAAACTCTGAGAATAGTCTACCTGATCGATATGTCCTTTACATTGCAGGATTATAACCTCTAACAGTTTGGCAGCATGACATTCTGGATCTTCTCCAGCATCTCCAGTTAATACCTGGCAGGTAAAAATGAAATGCTATTTTTAACGAAAATGTTTCTTTAATTTTAAGAAAAAGTGATCCATTACGTACAGCCTTGCACATATTAAACATGGCCAACACATGGTTCTCATTCGAGAGGAATGCTGGGGTATCAACTGTGATGTAATTGTGAAGGGCGGGCATCATATCGATGAAGTACTCAAATGCGTCTTTCTGGAATAACTGATACATCCATTCTAAGACTTTCCACATGTCTCCTGAAATTGTCTGTCCAGTCAAGTCATAGACCAATGAAAGAGCTTCCTCGTAGAAATCTATGAAGTTGAAAAGGATAAAATATAAATATAAATTGATGTCACAGATACTTAACTGTGATACACTTAGCTTCACAATTATATAACTTACCCATGACACTCTCTCCGAAAATATGTGCAATAACCTGAAGCACTATAGGCTGTAACTGGGCCATAATTTGTGGCTGCAATATCATTGCACCTAATAAAGTTTCTATTGTATTTAACAATCCCATGGCGGTTATAGCTTTCTCATCACTGCCTTCGTCAGTTTCGAGCACTCGACTGAAAGTCGCAGCCTAAACACGTGTAATAGTATTTAGCATCTTCTCGGCTTACTCTGCCCAAAATTGACCAAGAAAGATTTATACTCACTAGGTGCTGACACATTTGTACAGCAATTGGCATAAGCTGATTCGAATATGTAGAAACAATTTTCTGAATTACAGTTGTCAGATCGTCGTTCTCAGTTTCTCGTACAATGTTCAATAATTCGAGAGTTATTGGTTTGATCAAAGGTTCTATATACTTTTGTGCTTTATCCTGAGCAGAGAGGAGCATTTGTAAAGCGATAGCAGCCTCTACCTTAACCGGTAGATCCTGGTCCGTTAGAAGAGCATTCGTCGTTAATCTAATGGCCTCAACTAATATTTGCTCCTGCTTGAATTTTATTTCGGAGAAGTAATGTAATACCCAACATGCCTGAAATAATTGATTTCAAATTAAATACACTACTACAGCAAAATTTTAAGCCTTGTATTATATGGGGAAATATAATTACTCTATTGGTAACCTAAAACATAATTAGGAATAGTACTCACTCTGGCCCTCATGTGTCCATGGTGGCTATTGAATTCAGGGAAAACATATTGCAACAACATTTTATCCATCTGTTCCTTGTAGATCTTCTTCTTCAATAACACATCTGCTAAACTTCCAACCTAATAATCATTTTAGTTGTTAAAGATGTCATAGAAATATATACAAATATTAGAAAAATTCGGTCCTTTTTAATTGCACGTACCATATGCAACGCACCGTCCTTTTGTCTGGGATCTGCGTTTGGACTAGTTAAAACTTCCATGCAAAATCGCATGGTTTCTTCGAGCATACCCTTACGCATTTTGCAGGCGGAACGTAGTAAAGTCTGTGCTGCAGTTACCGGAGATACAAAATCTTCAAAGATATCTGAAAACAACAATAAATTTTATTATTTTATAAAACAGTGAAACACGGAATGCACACGTAAAAAGAAAAGTTTGATTATTGTTTTACCAAATTTCACTCTGATATATTCATATGGATTATTATTCCAAAGCTCCTCGTCTGAAGCAGAATATGAAAGGATTGGGAAGAGTACGTCGCGAATAATCTCGAACATGTGTGGTTTCAAGAATTTCCATGAATATGCATGACTTACTCTGTAAATGAAAATTAATAGACTTTCACACTGCACTGTTTCGAAAAACGCATCCTTGTAAGACAGGCTGTTAATCAAAGCCCTAAGACTTACCCCTGATTAATGTAATTAATCGATTGCTGAATCACCCTAGGTGACACGTATATCTTTCTTCGGTATTGATCCAATATCTTCAAAAGAACTTCAAGTATACCTCCACTGAAAGTTCTCAGGTACCATTCAGCAAACTCCTTATATTCTTTGGTTACATGCCTGGGACTGCCATATCTGTCGAACATCTTATGTAGAATGTGAAGTGCCCATTTTTTACACTTCCACCATGGTAATTCAGCTCGTTCATCGTCATCCAAATCTGGATTGTTCGTCTCGGGTGGAACAGGTCTGTCGGCTACTTGTCGCACTACATCCATCCATTGGGAGAAAACTTCTTTCGAAATCAAATCCAGAGGAAGAGTGTACTGAAAAAGGAAAATAATAAAAGTAAATAAAAATGACAATAATAAGCAAAATAAATTAAACAACTAACAAAATGATCAAGAACCATAATACTGACAAAATATTAAAATAACAATTTGAAAATATAAAGGTTATGTACCTGTGTAAGTGCAAAGAATATTTTTAGTATTTGTTTTTGCAGTAAGACTGACTGTTCTGAGTTATCTGGCAGAAGTCGTAATATCAATTGGTAAATCATAGGGAACAAGAGATTCATTGCTTCATTCAGTGGCCCTCTATCCTCTGCTTTTTTATATCTAAAAAAATTGTTAAAGATACAGGAAATTGTATATACTACTAAGTTATACCTAAGTTTTTTTATGTAAATAACTTAATAAAATACACACTCGAAATTTTTAACTAGTTGATAAAGTGCTAAAAGAACACCTGGCCAGCAGGAAGCATCTGAATTTTGTAAATATATTGTGATTTTGTCCACTATTTGTGTCCATCTTCCAGGGAAGTCATGTTTTACAATATTATTGACACACATTGCCAATTGTACTCTATACCAATAAGAAAAAAAATCTGTTACTATAACATTCAGACACATTATGTAGTCTGCAAATATAAATCAAGCGGATAGCGAATAAGTATATCAGTTGCTTGCCTGATAAGTGGTGGTGCATGCACAAGAGCATCAACAATTGCATCACGAATCATGGCTCTGTCTTGTTCATGAATGCTGAATTCAACCGGACCATTTTCACTTTCTCTGTCAGCCCAACTTTTTGTAATTAAATTTTTCAGATATATAACTCCTGCATTGACACAGAAATGTCATTAATTAATTCTTACTTGTTAATTGATAATAATCAATCTTATTAATTACCAGCATGTTGCACAGGCATATCCTCTGCAGTCATTACCACTTGGAGTAGTGTAGGTGCAAAACCAATAATTTTGTGAATCTGAAAGCATTTTGTATATTATAAATTTGAGAAACTCTGTAGTTATTAAATATATTATGGTGAAATCTGCTATACAACCTGATATAATAACTATTATTTCTCCTTTATATTTAATGTAATTGTAATCAAAACTACAATATTTAATACAAGTGGACATTATTCAACAATGTTATCCTTAACTCATTCCGACCCTATGATTATTAAGTACACAAAAACCATTGATAGTATCAAAATATTGTAATCTTACATCAATCAAACTAATATCAAATCATAAGAAAATTGTCAATACATGTATAGTACATACAAAGCAATATAATCAAAATATAAATGACTCAACAAATTATACAAGCTGGAACTTTATAATAAGCAAAAAGGAATTATAGTTTTTATTCTTATAAAAACTTAATAAAACTAGAATGATAGAAGAATCTTAAAGTATTAAAAAACCAGTCTATGTATGACCAACTGGAAAACAACATTAAATAAAAAACTTGTAATTAAAAATAATTGAATGAAAATGATTACGAATTTGGTTAAAGGTCATTTTCGAAAGCAGAAAATAATGAACACAACCGAAATAAAATGTTAGTACCAGTAAAAGAAAGGAGATCGTGTTTAAAAATCATCTTAGGTGATTAAACTGTAAATTACAAGGGGATGAAGAATGGTAAAGAAAAAAATTATCGCGAGGAGGCACATGTTTCTGTCGAAGTATTAGCCATTCGAGCACGTTTCTCGATCAGTTGACCGACCTGATTTAGTTGCTCTTCGGCTTGCTTCTGTTGCGCTGGGTCGATCGTGGCACGCAACAATTCTGTCACTTTCCGTACATCCATCTTGTGATTAGTTTTGTGTTGGTTGACGGTGTCTAAAATTTTTCACTGTTCCGCACGAATTCGACCCGGCGCACTCACCTCGCTACTCCCTCGTCACGTGACACAACAATATGGCGCCGGTGAGCCGATCTGTGTTACATCCGGACATTGAACATACAATGATTAGAGGGCATACTAGTAGGTACATTCTAGTCGCAAAAATCTAAAATTTGTTCACATTAACGATAAACCTGTCATAACAAAACCACGTGACTTTTTCAAGGTATAGTGGGGTAGTGTAACACCTGTAACCTGTAACACATGGTCGTATATACAGGTTCGGAAATTCCCGTGGTGAAGTGATCCATAAACATATGTATATAATATATGCGCTGTCTTATGGTAGGGATGAGGTTGGCGGTAGAGTGAGAGGATAATACATGGAGTCATAGACTTCTCTTTCTAATGGGGCTGTTGGTCGGGGATTTCCTACGGCTATATGTAGTGGATGCATTACATGCGTGCAGCACAGTGCAGCGTGCAGCATTCCTTCTCCTCATCGCCCTCCAGTCGCTTTCTTCCCTCCTTCTGCGATGTGCGAGCAAGAAAGGGGTTACTCCAACGCTACTTCTGTCCTTCGGTCTCGTTTCATCCCTACCATAAGACTGTGCAGTATATTATATATGGCTATGGTCTATGATTTATCCTTAATGTGAAAATGATATAGATAGTAAACTGCGTATAAAATCACTGAAAACGTATGCAACAGCTATATTTGTTTATAGGTCATTGGTCGGTCAAAACATTGTGATCGTAGTATTGTATGTATGCATCATAGTTGAAACTGCACTGTACGAACGCTTTATTTTGTCGATTGCAAAAGATACGAAACTAAACGCAACGTTCGAACAAATTCTCGGCGAATGAAAGTATTATAAATCGAGTTTTGAAACTACAGGACACTGACATGTTGCAATTAATAAATCTTCCTGATATTGTTTTGGAGACGATCCTGTCTAACCTTACATACGACGAAATTGCTCGATACAGAATCGTAAGATTATTTTCCTATTTCGTGTGTTGTCTCTTATATTAGTAAGAAAAATTGTGTAACCAGTTCTGAACAATTTCCATGTGAACAGGTATGTAAGCAGTTTGATCGAATATGCAAGAAGCTACTGAACAGAGGTTTCAATTTAATGGAAAAATATCATGCACAATGTTTACGAGCTGTAAAACATCAACTGCCACGAAGGGAATCAGAAAGGAGAAGTCATCCTTTGGCACGTCATTGTGATATATTGACAGCAATTGAAACAAGAATATCTATGTTATCCATGACTTTTATCAAATATGTGGATCTTAATCTGTGTTGTTTTATCCCTGGAAAGGTGAATAAGCCAAATGTTCTATAAGTAATGTAATCTTGTTTTTTAATTTCTAATGTATTGTTTTGTACTAGGTAATTGATGAAATTTTTCGAGTTCTTCGTTTGATTCGAGATTCAAAAACTCCACCCAGAGCTCATGAAATACTTCAGGAGTTAAGAGATATCAGTAGCATGGCTATGGAACACTTTGATGAAAAAATCTTACCAGATCTAAAACATAGTATTTGTACATCTGTTGTCAGTAATGTAGGTTCTTATGAACTACCAAGTGGTAGCTTGATGATTTCTCATCATACTACAAATCTAACTAATACAACACTGCCACATAATTTTAATTCAGATCAGCTGAACCAAACCTTTAAAAAAATATACAGTCGCACTAAAAAGAATAAATTGTCTGTTTTGTCTATGAAAGGTCAAATAAGTAAAATGAAACTTAGAATGAAAAGGCAAGGCTTCCAAATGAGATTGCAAAGTTTGAAACTGCAAGAACAGGCAAAGAAAATACATGATCAGGATACACAATTGGCAGAGATGAGAAAACATTTAGAAGAATGGGAACAAAAAATGGTCGACTTAACAGCTGGATTAAGTCGTGCCAGAGAAGAAACACAAAAGCCTGATTCTATTGAGACTTGCAAAAGAAAATTAATAGATCAAACGAATGAATTGCAAGCAAAAAGGTGTAAGTTGGTGATAGAAACATTGAAGTCAATACTATAGAAGCTTGAACTTCGCGTTAACTTGTCCTTTGTACATAATATGGTTGTATATGAAAAGCAAGAATATTATTCTATTTGTATTTTGCATTTTTTATGTTATATTTGAATAAATTTAAGTGTTTCAACTTTCTACATACTTAAATGCAACCTATGTAGCTGTTCTCAAAATATAATTTAAAGTTATTCAAAACTATGATAGTAAAAAGATGAACCATCATAATCATAATATTATATAAAATAAAAAATTAAATTTTAGATTTTATTTAATTTTGATTAAGTATATTTAATATCGTCGAACATAAACATATTGAATCTGTTATGTTTAAAAAACATTCATGAATGTAACTAAAATTTATAAGAAAGGTAAAATATGGTATAATTTTTTCATTTCTAAGGAGGCATATTAAAAACAAATGTGTGAATACATATAATGGACTGTGGTATTAAATTATTGTATAAACTTATGATTCAATCACTAAGTGTATTAAAAATTATAATAGAATACAATAATGTAATTTATGTATTATTTTAAACATGCTACTGTAATATGAATATTCATTGAAAATTGAAAGTTTATAAGATCTCAACAAAAACTGATAACATGTATTTAATTCGCTTTTTATTTATTTTATTTGTAATAATTCTTCCATTAACATAACATTATTTTACATTAGTTAAAATATTGTGTAAGATTTCATGTAAAGTTAGTGACAATAAATTATTAGTGATATCTGGTGCATATACTTATATCTGCATGTGTATATTCTGTTTTGTTTAACATTTTCAAGAATTTATCTATATATGTTATACAATATTTCTGATGTTTAGCAATTTCAATGGAATTCAATGGTAATCTTAGAAATATACAATTGCATGTAATTTTTAGTTAATATAACAATAAATATATTTTACTCTAATACGAACCTTGATATTTGATTAGTGTTGTGTTAGATTATAACACCACTTTATTTGTAACAATACAATTTATGTATCACCAAGATATGATAGGATACTTTCCAAAATTGATGCAACATCATTTAAAAAAGTTACATTTACAGATTTTGATTGGGCATCTGTAATGGAAACTGCTGCAGAATCTTGTGACTAAAAGAAGACAATATAAAATTAATTGTTTGTAATTATTAGAAAAAAGATTTCAAAAGATAAGAATATGTTACAAGATTTTCCACATCTGATACTTCAGTTGAACTCGTGTTGATGCATAGTTCCTTAGAGTTTTCCTCGTGTATGTTGTCTGATGTATCATTAGATGCACTTGCATTTTCGATAGGTGGTAAACGCACTACTTCATCGTAAATGGCTGCGTGTGCATGTTGCAAATAACTTTGCTGTTTCATTCTTATATTTTTTCGTACAGTATTTTTTTCCACTTCAGGTAACACAAAGTTATAAATCATGTTTGCCACTAGTTCTTCTTCTGCTATTCTAGTTGCACTGAAATATATAAAACGGAAGTTAATTAACAATAATTGGAAATATTAATTTTTCAATATATTACTTGTCATCTGCATATTTTGCTATTTTATCCACTTTATCGCATAAGTTCACAATATGTTCTTTGGCTGCTTTATCGGATACCCATTCGATGCCTTCTTTTATAACATCCTGTAAGTAGGTTTCCACAGATTCTTGATGGACTTTTATAACTTGTCTAAACATTTCATCGAATTCTCTACGCCGATTATATTCTAACTGACGCCGTCCAGCTTCTGCCGCTTCTCTCATAGCTCTCTCTCGTTCAGCCAATAATGCGAAAGCGTGTATTCGACGTTCATCTTCCAGTCTTAATAATTCCTTAAAAGTAAAACAACAATCATCAGACAATATATACATCAGTGACTTAAAAGAAGACGTACTTTGCTAAGGAAATTTAACATTGCTGAAAGAGTCATTCCTTCTAAAGAGTTAAGGACTTCACACAGACGATCCTCTTGTATAGATCTATCATTCTGTAAGCGTAATAATTCCATTACGCGCTCTCTTTCTTTTTGACGTCGCTTTTTACTTTCTTCCTCCATTCCGTGAGACGATTGCAATTCTTCAATCAATTCTCTGCACCTATTACGACCTTCAAACATCTATAAAATAAATTGATTTACATATAAAAGTTAAATTAGGAAACAAGAGAATCTGATGATTACCATACACTGAATTGCTCTTCCTCTAACTATCTTTTGAATAAGCATAGACAATTGGTCTAAGTGTAGGTCTTGTATATCTTCTGTATGCTTCTTATATGGTGTGGAAGGCAAAGACGGTGGCTTATATTTGCGTTTCAATAATGTTGGTGTTTCTATTTGTTCTACATTTAGTCTCATTGCCTTTAAGTCATTGTACAACTGTTTCAATTTCTCCTCTGTCCATCTTGTTTTTCTAATGCAAAGGTCAAATGATTTAGGCTTTGGCCTAATTGTTTTCAATTCGTCAAGTTGTGGTAGCCAACTAGGCAATGTATTCATTTTCTCTGCATCTAATTCAACATGTATAACAGAATAAAGTATACAGAGTTATATTAGAATTATATAGAAATACATTTACCTTCAATAACTCTGTCTTTCAGTAACTCTTTATTTATTATTTCATGTCTCCTCTGTGGATGTTCTCCATACAGCATTTGTGGTGCATATATTTCAGATGCTGGATCGGCATGTTCTTTAATAATGTCACGTTTACCGGATCGTGATTTTTGGTAATGTTTTTTATGAAGTTTCCTTAAGTTCCTTCTAAGATTATGCCTAACAGAATTTACTTGTTTGTCTTTACGTTTAGATAAAGTATCTTTCAATCTATTGAAACGACCTTGTATCTTTAATTCTTTCTCAGATTCATGAGTTCTAGTTATTTTGTCCATTAATTCAAGTCTATGATCCATTATTGCTTGAATCTCCTATATTAGAAATAATATTTTTGCATGACATTGTACAGTTACAGAAAATATACAGATATTATTACACTTTTATAACAAAATATTTACTGCTTCTCTAAATGCCCATTCATCTACTTCGATTGCCGTTAAAATAGCTACTCGCATTTGTATATTAGCTGGTGTATCCACAGGGGGCAGAATCATTTCCCATTTCTTTTTCATTCTCATTCTGTTAATAACTTCTAACTCGTGAACTCCAGGTGGTAATCCTTGGTTCCAAGTTAAATGGGCTATTGTCAATACTTCAGGATCATGCCCTAAATGTTAATGATTGTATCAGCATTTAAACGTAAATCATATATTATATTATTTACCTGGTTTAATCTTATATGGTGGGTCCCATGGTACAGTTTGTGTATCACTATCTCGATAATCTGTTTGAGTTTCCATATTTCTGTACAGTTCTGGCTTGGATGAAAATGCATAACATTGTTTCTGTGCATTTCTTACTACGTCATTTAGAATATCATGATCAAAGCGTTCTGGAATCTCTACATTTTGTGTTTTTGGTACTAAAAATGGTATAATTGGTCGTCGATAATATTTGTGATTAATAGAACACATGACATCATCTGTTTTATGATGTTTAGCCATTGTCCTAGAAGTATGAAACATAATATAAATATTTCAATTATCCTTCATTAGATAAGAATAAACGTATTCTTTATCAATTACTGAAAGAATTCTACCTGCAAAAAAAATTTTTAATTAGTTTATCAAATTCCAATTATTATTGATAACTTACTTAAAGTCTGAAACCCAGTTTTCTTTTTCGTTATTAAATTGTTGAGTGCCATTATATTTCAAGTCTTTTAAGCCACTTTTGGAGAGAAGATTCCCGCACGCGTTCTGTAATATTATGATACATGAATTTCTAAACTTTTACATAGAAAATTGAAGAATAAAGTAACTGTACAGGGAAACTCACAAATGTACAAGCTGTTTGTACACTGGATATTTTAAATTTCGGTTTTTTACTGCATGTAATGTAAGTATTCTCTGTATTAACAATCATGCACAATTTAAATCACTTAACTTATATCAGGCATGATATAGAATATATAACTTACGGTTCATTGCTTGCTTGCTAGTCATAGTCATTAGAAATTAATAACTACAGCTGGTATTTTCATAAAATTAATTAACCACTATGCAGAATATAAGAATGCAATTGCCGTTTTTTATTTCAAAGGAATGAAATCATTTCATAGTTGTTTAGCAAAAGCTTGGATATTATACAAATATTGATCAAACACTAACTTCAGAATCCTTAAGCAAAACCTCATATTCTATACTAATCTACACCATTCTATAGTAATAAATGAATAAGGGATTAACAAATTTTTAAAAAATCACATTGGTTGTAATATATCTCTTATATTCTGTAATTATTTTACATGTAACAGTAATCAATATTTACTTTCTTTCGTTATAAGTACATATTTTAAATATTATAGACAATTTTCTCTAGATAGAAGTATACAGCCTGCAAAATAAATATAGTACATAGATAGGTAATCCCATGATAATTGTTAACATCTTGCAATAAAAAAGTATGATATATTATTAGGCATAAACATTGTAGGTTCAGTATATTAGTACAACACTAATTAATAATATAACTTTTTAAACAGTTTAATCCTTGAGTAATTGTTACCAATAACTCACTGAAAAAGAGATGTTTAATTTTGTATTGAAACTGTTTAACGATTAAATAAATAGCATACAATTCAAACACTGATTAATATAAACAGAAGTTATTTAAGACTGTGTTTTGTGAAGTGTTTTAAAATATCCATTTCCATGTGAACCCAAGTATTCTGACCAACTCTGATGTAAAGAAATATTTTTACAACTTTCATTAGGCAACATATCCTCTGGACATGCACATTCCAGTTTCATTCTGTATATTGTCATTTGTCCAAATGAAATTTTTAAATTTTCCCGATCAGTCATTTCTTGGTACATGTTATAACTAATACCGCGTTCAGCTAAACATTCTTTAACAAAATCATCCTCGTGTTTATATTGTAGCTTCTTCTCTGAAAGCACCTTTTTCCTATGAATACAATCTAAATCCTCTTGTATCAGCATTTTTGGTATTTCAGAAGATGTTAACACAAATGTAGAAAATACCAAATCCACAGAAGTCGTGCCTATTGACTCTGAAGTAGAGGGTAACAATATCCCAGTCGTTGGTTGCTTCTGTATACCATATATCCGATACATTCGATTATTTTCGATCTCTGTTTCTCGTTTCCTCTTTTGCCGGTGTACCTTATTAGGTAGTTTTGCTAAAATTTTCAAATTTCCTTTAATAAGTTTTTCCTTATTTTGATTTCTTAGTGACTCTCGTTTAAAGATTTTTTCTATAGTGGCATCTTCTTCCATATTTTCTACAACATTAGGAGACTTCTGGGTATATGTCTGAACAAATTCCTGAAATGTATTAGTATTATTCATTATGTTAGGATTCTAATTGAAAAAGAATTTGTAAATAGTAAAAAGAATTATGAGAATATCTTACCATAGAACTCAATTCAATCGAGGTATTCGTATTATTTGTGATACCTGACACAAAATCAACAGTTCGTTTTCTCAAATTTATAGTTTTCATGTCACTTTCTGTATCAATTTCTACATCAAGATTTGAAACGTAATTATTGAATTGTTCTAATGTATTTGTTTCGTTTATGATAATTGATTCATTACTAAGTACATCATCTATAGAATTATTTATATTCTTACCAGAGTCTGTAATGGATATGCTGTTGGTATCGCTTCTTTGTTCTCGTATTTGGTCTGCCTGAGAATAGTCCATGGACTGTTCTTCCCCTACATTAATATTACTCTCACCGTAATATGAGCCATCATAATCTTTACTTTCTACATTCTTTTGTGTCCATTTATTTTCATTCTTCCAAGTATAATCATCGTTAAAATTGCCTGGATTTTCATTTTGAAAATCAGTAGCTTCGAATTTGTTATGTGATGTATATTTACCGTACGATTTATCAAGTTCCTTATTCATATTACCTGACTGGTTTTTCTCATTTCGACTTTTATATGTTTTAGGAGATCTTTGGGATACAAACGGTGTATCTGCGTATGCGTCTGTTCTAGAATTCAAGTCATCAGAGAAATACAATGATATACCAGGTGGTCCGACATGTTGACTCAAGGCATATAAGTTTGTAGTCAAACTAGAGTTAAATCTTAATTTACAAATGTCAGCACGTGTTTCAAATGTAATGATAAGATTCTCAGTTTTAAGTGATTGGTATTTTTCTTTTTCTGCTTCATAATTTAAACATTCAATTGACCAATGTAAAAACCAATCATTTCCAAAACCTTCGACAGTAACAGACAAACCGGACATTTGTTTACTCAAACTACCTTCTATTGGTTTCTCGAGTAAAGGTTTACCAGTTTTGCCATCTACAATGGTCGTGATAGTATAATTATATGTAGTAAAGTCTGAGCCTATTTGATGTTTTACCATGAAGTCTGGAACATTATCATCATTGTAATAACCAGGAATAGGTATGCTTATTACTTTAGAATTAGGAACTGTATAATTCCAAATAGGTTCAAATGTTAGTCCATTGTATACTATTATTGTAGAATTAGACATAGCAGCAACAATATCTTCAACTCCATCCAAGGTGATGTCTACTAAAACTGGAGGCAATGGAGTTCCTCTTTCTGTATCATGATGTAGTTTTCGCAATTTCTAGAAAAAATTAACATGATTACTATATTATTCTCATTTATATATTTATCTTTAAGAGTGAAACAAACAACTTACCATGTTACCATACATTAAATTCACCTGAGGAACTACATATAATCCTCCTGCTGATTGCTTTTGACTAGTAGTTACAAAGACAAAAATACTTTCTCCATCTGGATGAACTAATTTCTGAGGTGCTAAGAATAATTGCTCTGTATTTGGCAAAATTGAACTATGTATAATACTTCCATTTATCCCTGATATTATTAGAATTTCACTTAATTGAACTTCTGTTGACTGTATAGTATGAGATGCAATAACATCTCCAACTTCATCTCCATCAATATCCGCAATGAATTTAGCATCATAAATATCTGCAAGTTTCCAATCCTCAGAAGGTTGCAATGCTTCAACCGGTGCTTCCCATATACTAGATCCATCCTGTCCATTTATTGCATGAAGTATACCACCATGTCCACATATAATGCAATCTTTGATTTTATCATTTGTTAAATCCAAACCACAATCAACTGAATAAATTGCATGAGCTGTCCAATGTGTCCAGAGTGTATCGCCTGTCTTACCATTCAAAGCTAAAACTCCACCATAACATGGAATTTGGCCATCAAAGTAGGATACACAAATATATTCTGGAGTGTCCATTGTATCCAATCCTGTGTTTTAGAACAAGAATAATGTCTTAATCAAATACTTTCATTACTATTAAATATCTATTAATAGTGATTTACCTCATTAATTGAAGATCAACAAAATTATAATTGTACAAAATCAAAGTCTGTAAGCGAGAAAATAAATATAGAAGAAATTAAAGGTAATTGTGTGATATCGTTCCATCACTTCCTAATATTAACACATTGACTGCCACATGAACTTTGTGGGTGTATTTTATAAATAATTAAGAGAAATGTAATAAAATTGTCAGACACATAATAATAAATTATCATTTTATAGTACTGTTCATTACTGATTTGACTGATTTCCATATTAATATTAAAAGTTGTATATTGATTATTTGTGATTCTAGTGGCATTAAACATATTAAATACATATTATTATTTCTATATAAATAAGAACCTGTACTAAATCCAACAATGATATCTTCCACTCCGTCTTCATTAACATCACTGCTTCTCAGTGGAGATTCAGATGTTAGCTTTGGTAGTGATTTAGTCCATACAATGTTTGTTGCAAGTGATGTACATGGAATAATATTAGACTCATTCAATGTTTGTTCAATACCATGAGACAACCAGTTTTTTAAAATGGACATTGGCACAGGAATTATATTTACAATATATATACATAATGTAATCAAGCTTAACAGTATTATCAAAGCCATGAGTCCAAAGCAAAGAGGTATATAACAAGTTCTGCTAGAAAATCTATATGTCTCAAAACTATATGATTTTTTACACTTTCTACGAGGTGCCATTAAAGGTCTTTTAACTCCTCCATCATCATCTAATTTTAGGCCTCCATTTTTTCCATCTCTGATGAATACTTCATCATCAATGTCTGTTAGATCTTCTTCATCAAATCCATCTCGGACAGCCAATTTTGGCAAAGCTGGATAGACAGCAGACATACTTTACAACCTACAGAATGTTTACAAATAACGATTAAATTGACCATTTAAGAACTTAAAATTAAATTAATAAATTGACAATAAAATATACTTATAGCAATTTATTATACATTGAAACATTGTACATTCATTATTACAATCATAAAGGTACAGAATAAATAAACATTAACTAAACGTGGTAATATAAAATAATTCAATATAAAAATACAGAGCATAATATTGTGGAACAGAATTTTCTCGCGCATTATAAATTATTCTTAAAGTACCTATTTCGCATTACGATATTCATTGATTTTGTAATAAATATTAGAAATATAACGAAAATTAAAGTCATACGTGGACGATTAATATAATAATTAAATTTATTGTTTATTTACGTGTTCTCAGAAGGTGTCCATTAAATTGCATTAAACTTGATTAAACTGCAAACAACAAAGAACGATCCGTTCGCTAAGAAAATGTATAGATGTCGTGTGTGGTCGTGTGAAAAATTAAGTTAATGGCTCGTTCATAACGAGTAACAAGATGAAAAATAATTTAAAGACCTAGGAAAATTTTTTACTATTAATAAGCATTATTATTTGAATTTTTTTAATTTACACAAATTGTAAGAACTTTTTATCTGTTACTGGGTATTCGAACAAAATAAACACATTCTAGTGTTCCTAGGGTATTCATTTTTTAAGGCGTTTCTCGACGTTGTGAAGGAGACATTACCCCAGATTGCCAACTATTGTTGACTGGGTTGACTGGGTTGACTGGGTTTACGCTTCTTTCAGCAACCGGTAGCGTGTATAGTACCGGTGAATATTAGTCAGAAACAAAATGTTGCACGCGAAATTAAGGTTTGCGTTTTACATTGCGACTTGTTCCTTTTATTTGAGTTTCGTGTATGCCAATACTCAAGCATCTTCGAGAAACAATTTTGCAGAACAACTTACCGAAGAGAATTGGGACCGTATGCTGATCGGAGAATGGATGGTGGAATTGTAAGTTGAATTGAATCTATGTCGTCAAATTTGATGGCGTGTCAAAAATTGTGTTAAGGAGAAGGAAATGCCCATCAATAAGTTATTTGAGGTCATATAGATTATCGAATGAAATTGAATCCTATAGAATGAATAATTTAATTTCATTCGAATTGACTTTATATATAACAAAATACTACAATCTATTTAATTTTGAAACACTGAAACTTTAAGCTCCAAGTGAAAACAGTTCTGTTCAGAAAATATAACTTGAACGTCTTTTATTTCAGCTATGCACCATGGTGTCCTGCTTGCAAAGCACTTGAACCTATTTGGGAACATCTCGCTTTGCAGAAGAAAAGCTTGAATATCAATGTTGGAAAAGTTGATGTTACTGATTCTCCAGGTCTTAGTGGAAGGTTTATGGTTACTGCTTTACCAACAATATATCAGTAAGCATTTGTTTTTCTTTTCAAAGATAACAATATAGAGTTTGATATAAAACAAAAAAAAGTAATAAAGTATTAAATAATTCTATTGTTTGTTTTTAGTGTCAAGGATGGTATATTTAGGCAGTACAAAAGTCCCAGAGACAAAGATTCATTAATTGAATTTGTATCTGAAAAAACATGGGAAAAAATTGAGCCTATTCCTGGTTGGAAGAGCCCAACTTCCATTCAGATGTCTGTTATTAGTCAATTTTTTAAAATGTCACAAGTATTAAGGGCAAGTAGTTTTATCATATGTTTTCGGACAAGTTTATGTCTAATTAAACTTCAAACTTTGTTACTTGATTCATAACAAATGAATTATGTAGTAATAAATTTATTCTTTTAGGGAGTACATAATAAACTCATGGAAGATTTTGGACTGCCTACATGGGGAAGTTATCTGATCTTTGCTGTTGCAACTATCGTTTTAGGTGCTATATTAGGACTGGTAAGTTTATATAATCTACAAATCGGAAGCTGAAATAAAAATTGTATTTCATAATTTGCAGTTTATTGTTTGCCTGATTGACTTCATATATCCACCAAAGCATGTAACACTTCAAAGCAAAAAGAAACAAAAAGATGGTTCCGGTGGATTTATGCAAGAAAAAAGTATACAAGATGAAGAAATTGTTGAAAATGTTAAAGACGACTTGGTAGATGAGGAGTCTGAAGGTGACGTGGATGCAGAGGAAAAAGAAAAAGACTCTGAAAAAGATTCGAAGGCTGAGCCGAGTAGTCCAAACGTTCGCAAACGTAAGCCACGCAAAGCTGACTAGACATACTATTTGGATGTATGAAAATATTTAACATCTGGAAAGATATGACGAATGGTATTTAGCAGTTTGTAATGTCAATTCATTTTCATAAATGAAAACAAGGACATGACATTGTGACTTAATAACAATGTTTGAAAAGAAATTGTAAGATTTCGTGGAGAGAAACGGGAATACTAAGTTCTATTGATAACTCATAGTTATTTGAAATATAAGATATTTTCAAACGTGACAGAGAAATCTTGATTTCATGTGAAACAGAAAATTTTTAAATGTGAAAAGTACTGTACCTCAGGTATTACTCTTTAGTATCTTAGAACAACAATCGTTATAACAATGAATAGATATAGGATATTTTACCCAAAAAATTTGATGTCTTTAATTAAGTATTGTTTCAAAATGTAGAGAAACACTTGGTACTCCTGTTACAAAAAACTTCAAATTATATTGATATGAAATGCTTGTTTCTACTGCGTTTCTATATTTTTTTTAAAAGAATTACTAAAATTAACAATATGAATGCTTAACATCATAGTTGACTATAAATAACTAATATATTTTCCTGTACAAACCGTTTATTTATAATTTTTACATACAATATTGCAAAGTGAATAAAGAAATATGTATTATTTATATACACATACACACACACTTTTTTACATAGTGGTATAAAGTATTTGCTTGCAAATTGTAAAAAACATAGTTAAGAATTTATTAGATAAGCGCACCAGCTTTAAAATTTTTTTAATGGATTGTATTTACATGTGCATTTTCTGTTTCTATGGAATTGTAAAATTTGTACGCGACGTTTAATACATCGACAAGTAAAAAGATCAATTGAGCTAAATTGAATTGTTTGTAGAATTATTTTAGAAGGGAAGACTATCCACGGTATTTTAATAAATTTCTAATATATATTACGTGACTGAATTTCTAGTAAATGTAGTTTTAAAGTTACTTTCTACAATACATTTTAGTACAGGAATAAAGATATTAATATAACAAAAAATATTTGTATTTGTACATAACTTGTAATAAGTACACTTAAATCTGTTGTATGAAACTTTTATAGCGCTTATATTCTATACAAGGCAAATTTTTAGGTAAATATATCTTGACATATACTATCACAAATTAAATATATATGTTTGCAGAAGAACATGAACTGTTGACACAGACTGTTTGCATTTACAATATTTATTAGTATTTTACATACAAAATTACTCAAAAATTTATAAAATGTCTTCCGTAGATGTTACTATTTCCATTATAAGAACCCATTCATAAAATCCATGTTAATCATCTGCAACATTGCATTTCTTTCATTATATGTATTTGATTGATTTCAAGATGTATTAATTTTAGTTTCATTACTACATGATTTTATGGGGCATTCATAATTATTTTTAACATTCCTAGAAAAATGAAATATATTTTTACAGGAGAATTTATGTTTAATTATACGAGAAATGATTAATTTAACTAATTTTACTATCTAGTAACTGGACTGCGGACATTTATGCGAAATCCTGTCTTTATATTACTTTATAAAAATGAAAACTAAATGAAAAATTTTTTCATTTATTCATTAACTGTATTAATCTTTAACTAAGTAGGTTTTGCATGTCCACATTTGGTATAAATATATAAAATCCGCAGTCTAATAATAACATTTGTAAAACTGACTGTCTAATAAATGTATTAAATAGCTGTTGTAAGTATGTATTATTTGTGAAAGTTTATATCGCTTAAAATTCCTCACTTAAATGGCGCCATATTCATCAATACTGATAGTTTTATGGAAGAATCTGTTGAAATATTAACTGTACAGAAAATATTATTATAAAATCTACAAATTTTATTTTCATTTTGATTGATACGTTAAATAATTTTAAATGAATAAGCAGTTTTATTTAGCCAATAAGAATTACGACCAGTGTTGTAACGGAAGTGACGTCTGCAAAATCTGACCATTCTTACAATTTTAATATTAAATAGGGAGAATGTTATATTTAAAGCGACATATTTTATTTCTTAATGAGTCAAAGATTTTTATTGAGTCTTTTGGCTTAGAATACGTCTTTAATTCAAATGATAAATATTAAAACATCTTGGAAAGTGTTTGTGAACATAGCACGCACGCGTGGCTGGAGAAATCCAATTCGGAACTGCACGCCTTACGCAGAAGCCTAACGAACGCGTGTTGGACATAACCTCGACAATTCCATAGTCGACCACGTTTAGGGTTGCACACTGAGTTGATTTTATATTATTGAGAAAGTATACGTTTGTTGCTCTCAAAACTATTTTTGACAGAAAAGCGATTATCTATCAAGTTATTAATCAGGTAAGCTATAGTATATTTAATTTAACTTAATACAAAAATTAGAATAACTGATACAGAATTTGAAGCATTAACCTTGGTCTCTGTTACGCCTGTTTTCAAGATTTTTTTGGAATATCGATTTGTATTATAGAAATTATGATAGTATCATGTAATCTAATATTTTGAATACAAGATACAATGTGTAGGTTAAATATAAAAAAACACAATGTACTTAAACGACTTATAAAGTAACTTTAAATTAATAATGAGGTCTTAATCTCTTTCATGAACAAAGTTTTTTTATTGTATAGTAAATTAATATCTGTAGAAGAATATTTTAGATAATAAATATTTTTTTACGTAGGACGACTTAGCAGATTACCGACTATAATTTTGAAAAAATCAAACATGGTTAAGAACATAAAGAAACGCTCGATAAGCGAGAGTGAGGTAGCTACGAAGCCGAGACAGGAATTTGTATCAAAAAAGAAGAAGCCAGAAAATGGATCTGTACAAAATGGACAATCAAATAAAGAAGTTAAAAAGAATTTGCCACAGAAAGTGAAAGCTCAACCGAAGCCAGGTGTGGGAGTTAAGAAGGACGTAAACGAGGTAGTTGCAGAGAAAACTAAGAAACAAACATCAAGTAAAGTTGATAATGAAGAAAAATTAAAGAAAAAGCAGGCTTATCGTGAAAAGCGTAAACTGCTGAAACAAGATAACAAGCATGGAGTTAGATCTGATTTGTCTATGGATGACATTACACGTAAGATTGAGGAGATAGAAAAGCGAGGAAATCTCACAAAAAGTGCTAAAAGAAAGTTAGCGCAACTCAGAAAATTATTAAAGGTGAAGGAAGGTACATATGTACCTAAGCAACAAGTAGCAAAAAAGCAAGCAGAGAAAGGAAAAAACGAGAAATCTGTAGAAGGTGCAAAGAAAAAGCAGGTCCAAATTAATGCAGAGAAGAAAAAACAGGTACCGGAGAAGGTTGAAGCTAAGGTAGTCAAGGATAATAAAAAGAAAGATGTTAAACAAGGTAGTCTGCTTCTTGTTAAGCAGAAGGAATCAGAGGATGAGGATGAAGATGATGAAGATGAGGAAGATGTTGAGCTGGATGATGACGTGAGTGAAGATGAAGAAGGAAGTGAAGTAGAGGGAGAGGAGGATGAAGACGTTGATGAGGATGATGAGGATGACGACGTAGAGGGGGATGAGGAGGAGGAGGAGGATGAGGAGGAGGAGGAGGCGGATGATGATGATGATGAAGATGATGAAGAGGATGAGGAAGAAGTTAAAACTAACATTGTTCAAAGTCCGCAAGTAAAAGAAAAACCTAAACAAAATACAGAACAGGATGGAAAAAAGAAGAGATTCGTTCTTTTTGTTGGAAATCTACCATACACGTAAGAATATTTACTGCTAATTATTTTAATTTAGTGTCCGTTATATACTTTACTAAATGCGTTTTTACGTTGCAGCGCTACTCAGGAAGACATTAAGAAACATTTCTTAACTAAAGTTAGCGATGTAGTTGACATCAGGATACCTAAGAAGGATGACAATACATCAAGAGGGTTTGCTTATGTAGAATTGACTAACAACATTGACTATGAAAAAGGACTTGCTCTGAACAATTCGTTCGTGAACGGCCGAAGAATAAAGGTGCAATATTCCGGGTCCAACAAAAAGGAAACAGTCGCAAAAAATCATAAATTGCAAGCACTCCAAAAAGCAGGAAAATTAGCCGGTGGACACAAGAAGTTTAATCAGAAGTCCGCTGGGAACAAGGGGAAACCATATATGCAAAAGACGAAAACGTAATTGTTGAATGAATAAGACGTATTGCACATCAATTTTTAAATATCATCCTAATTGTTACACTATCCAGATATCTAGATTTAAGTTTTTTATGTATACAACACACTGTAAAGATTTATGTTACGATCAGTATAGATAAAACGATTATCTACTAAAAGATGTATAACTCAATCCGCGAAACTTCAGCCTGATTCCAATGACTGTGTTTACGAACTCATTTTAAACTTTATACATGTACATTGTAATCACGTGTAATCTTAATTGACATTTCTGGTAAGGTTAAAAATATAGATTGTTATTTCTTGACATGATCAGAATACAAAGAGGTTAGCTAAGCAACTTGGCGTATCGTGAAGAAATGTCTAAATCGGAAATCAGGCGTACAAAGAAACAAAATGAAACGAACTATTCCGTAAATTTTGAGGCAACGGTTCCGTGGACGAATGAACTTACAGATGTACGAGATTAAGAATAATAAGTGTACTATCTACATAACTATGGAGTATACAGATAAAAAATAAAATTTTTCCTCTTAGGAACAACTCCCCGATAACATTATCTTCCCGAAAGAATTGAATCTATTTTTGCGAAATCGGATTCAGGTGAAATATGGTTATAAATTAATGGTTTAAGTAAAATAAATACAATATATGTTTTTTTAAAAAAAACTCCAAATAAGGAGAAACATCTTTATGTTGAACTTTACAAGTAAATGTTACTAACACTTTTGACATTGATAAGTAGTAACAATTGTGACACGGTAGGATCTGACTGCTGAGAATGGTTGTTTGCGTCGAGCGCTGGAGGAAGCGGAGGAAAATCTTCGGAAGAAGCAACCGGAAGTATCCCAAGCAGTACCGATTTTAGGGAAACCGAATGAAGTAGCCACCGCGAAAATAATCGAGCTTAGCAAACGGTGCCGAGAACAGGTGGCCGAGATCGAAGTTCTCAAATCTAAATGTAAAAGCCTCGAAACGAATGTGTCCAACAAAGAGGCTGAGCTCGAGAACGAAAGAAGATGTGAGTGGAAGCGCGTCAAGTTAGACTCCACTCAAGAGAGTGAGTTATAATTAAACGTTCTTAGAACCATTTGAAATACAAAACTTGGAAAACATGTAAATAAAAGTTCAAGTCCCGTTTGAACGAGTACTACAATTTATTCCATCGCTTGAAATATCATGATCGGAGATGCAGGATAGTATCCTTGACAAAGGTACCGAGAACAATCAAACGAAGGAGGACGAGGATCGAACGAAGCAGCTGAATGATAGGTTGCAGCAAACGCAAACGAAACTGTACGAGTCGAAGAACACTTGCGCCAGTTTGAAGCAGGAAATTAACAAGTTGCATAAGGTATATTTCGAAGGATTGTTTGTACGAACAAGTGATCTACTATTCATGTAAAAATCAATATTCATTTCTAAAGAGATATCCTGACATTTCTTGGTACTGTTAAATAAAAGTACCATAAATATGTGAAATCGAATTTATACGTGAAGAGCAGATACATTGAACTTATATTGATGAACTAACTTTAAAAAAAAAACATAGTTACTGTACAGCGAGGTGGGCGAAAACGCGAACATAAATAATCTATTGAATCAATCGGGTGGATGGCGAGGACGGGCCGAGCAGATTCACTTGTTGCAACAGAAAGTAACAGAATTGCAATCGAGATTGTCCGATTACGAGGGGACCCAGAAGACTTTCATTGGTATATCCGATCTATCCAGATGAAACTAGAGGAAAGAGATATGTATTTAGTATTGAGTCGACGCACTTTTGTACGATCCGTAGACCGGAAGAATCTCGCGAATCTTCGGAACGTCGAGAAGGAACGACGACAACAGATCGAAAACTCCGCGAAACAGCTTCTCCAATCGGAGGTCGCTATCGAGGGTTACAAAAGGAAGCTCGATGCTTCGAAGGCGAGGATAAAAGTGCTGGAGAACGAATTGAACGCGGCGAAAGGGAGCGTTGCAGTTTTAAACGAAAAAAGATACCACGACGACCAATTGATCGAGACTCTCAGCGTAAGCGGCTTGCTGGGTTTTTGCTTTAGATGTTCAAAGTATAAAAATATACAATCGTGAACATTCCCAGAGTCGACTGAAAACGATGGAGATCAGGCATCAGGAAAGGCAAACTGATATGAAGAACAGGGAGGAGAAGATAGAACGCGAGTGCAGTAACTTGAAGAACGATTTACAGTCCGCACAGCTTCAGATCGATCGGCTGAGAAGAAGATTAGAAGAACGGGAGATCGAGATAGACAAACTAAGGTCTTCGATTTGCACCCGATGTTAAACGTCTTAGGTTTTAAGACAGTTCTAGATCGATATTAATTTCAGAGATGGAATCGTTCCTAATATCGGGTCGTTCAAAGCTCAGAAAGTTACGCAACCAGAAATCTACTTAAATAGCTTCAACCATAGTCCCCCACAGAGTTCCAGAAGCACGGCTGACCCCAACGAGTATGTAACACTCGCCCTTGCCGCTGAAGCTGAAAGGGAGAGATTGTTGGAGCTGGTTACTGTGTTGAACAGACGATTGGATAAAGAAAGTACCGATGCTGTTACTCTTGCTGTATGTACGAGAACGTTTGGATTGTGGTGACGATTTCTAGCGGAGTCGTAGTTTATAAACATTTTCATTAGGGATGGCTTTCTCGAAACCCCTCGAAAGCTAAGAATGTTACGAAAATTCGAAACTTTGCACTTTTTTTGTAAATCGAAACTCTCGAAACTTCGGTAAGAAAAAATATAAAATCGATGAATAAATTCCGAATATTCGGTGCGATATGTTTTGTGAATGCTCGATGATCGGTTTTTGTTTTTAAAGATATAAAAACATAATTCAATATTTTATTATATAATTCTTTTACTAAAGGGTATTTAGCACGTGAATATATTAATAAAAAAATATAAATAGTAGAAGTGAAGATCAAGAGCATATGTTTCGTGAGAGCTTGACTCAATTTTTTCAAATTTTATTTTTCAATTACGTATTACAGTATTATTTAGTGGTATTAAAAGGTAAGAACTTCTAAATTATGCAGTGTTAGTGTTGGAAAAAGGATAATTGAATATATTATGTTTTTGTTTGTGTTTTGTTTAACTACAAGCAATAAAGATTAGTGTAGCAAGTTTGGAGAGTTTCGGAATCTTACAAAGTTTCAGATTCGAATTTCGAGAATTTTAAAATTAGGTTCCAATCTACCCCTAATTTTGATTAAAAAAAGACCGATATCCTTTGTAAAGTTAGCTTCACAACTCTCATAGAATTCCTTGCGCGACGAACGAAACAAATCAGCGAAATTAGAATCGAGGCTCCGAAGATTAGAGACCGAAAGGGCCGGAATCGTGAGGATCGACACAAGGTACAGATCGAAACTATTGTCCAGATCGTTGAAAGCTAACGATGAGTTTATCAACGCGGAAGAAACGCGACTCAAGTAATAACACATGAGAATAACAAAATTTAATGAAATCGATTGTTACACACTTTGATTGCGTATACGCGTAATTTTCGATACATCAAATTAGAATGGAGTTACTTCAGGAAGAATGTCTTGCGTTGAAGGCGAGATTGGACACGGTACAACAAGATAAAGCATCGGACCTTATTATGTACAAACGGATGCTCGATGAGGTTAGAAAAATCTTTCAGGACGCGTGCAGGTAATTTCATATACGATAACGATAAAAGTAAAATTGAATATTAACGAAGAATTTCCGGTTTCAGAGGGAAACCACCGCCTACTGTTGGCAGCCGTTCAACGATCACGGTGTAGTACTATCACAGACAGAGGTGGTATACTCAAATACCTCGTTTGTGACACCTAATCCAGACCATCCTAAAATTAATTCTACGAATCGAATACAAAGAAATATTTCTAAAAAAAAAAAATTAAACCTGCGTTACCTTAATTACATACACTGTAATTGTCCAACATCGTATGCCATCTTTATCAAGCTAGACATCAAGTTCAACTTATTTATTGTATTATCTATCCGGTACACCTAGCTAGAAGCTTAAACGTTTAAACTTCCATGTCGTGTAATTCACGAAATAAAGCGGGTGTTGCTTTATCAGCGAGCAACAGATCCTCCAGTCGTTGCTTATTGTTCCAACCGATCGGAATTGTGTAAGAACTACAAAAGCGAGCAACGGTGATGTAAATGGGACACGAGATAAGGTGCAACGGCTCCACGTAAACGCACGTGACATCGTCGGAGCAACGACGTTCCATTCCTATCTTTCGTTATTCCGCCTCCTTTTTCAGATTCACGTAACCTCTGTTTACCCTCAACCACCACCGCGGTTTGCTCTTGCTATTGATATCGCTCGCCAGTCCTACAGCCGTAAATTCATCCTCTATCCTAAAATTCTGAGAATACGAACTTGACGTTCGTCGCCTCGTTGCACGTTCTATAGGTCGCTGTGTGTTATTGGAAAAGTAGGAAAATTCCTCGGCGAAAAACAATCAAGTTCTAAACGAGGCGTTTAGTCTCTTTGCTGGTGGAATTTTTTATAAATACGTAACTAAAAAGTTGTGTAAGTTACGTTGGAATAGTACGTTCAGTGTTAACACGTTTGCTCCTTTTCTGAGGATCACGACATTAGTGGATGTAATAGGATATTTAGTGGTATCTTCATATGATGCACTGAAAATGAGTCTTCGTGGTCATTTATTGCTTCTACACACGATTTCCTGCCACTGATGATTATAGTATATTCAAGTAATCGTATAACGAGATCAGATACAGTAGAATGAAATGATTCGTCGAAGAAAAGTACAGAGAAACCAACATTGTCAGCAGACGAGAAGCTATCGATAGCCAAAATTATCGAGTTGATCATTTGAGGCTACACAATATATCCTCTATAACCTTGATCAAACTATTATATTAACCATTAAATTACTACAGTAGTGGAGAAAAAAGTTACCACTTTTCGGATTCTTTATATTTCTATTGTTTTTGAACGTCAACACAAAACCTTGATATACTGTATTTACTAAAGTTTTAAATAGTTTTTGTCCGTTACTGTATACGTCCAATCCAATGAACTAAATCGTGTTTACGTTCTACGAAGTCTCAAGTGGTTTCCATTCATTCATTAAGCAGAGGCGATTCTTCATCATCCACGAATATATTTCATAAAAAAGAATCAAAATTCCCAAATCTTCTTCAGCGTGCAAGTCGCCAATGGACGTGGTCTGCCAACGAAAATCTGGGGACACCAGGCAGTAATGGGCCTGTGTAACCGGCGGTAATGGCGAATACTATGGAAAGCTTATTTCGTCTATACGAAAGAAAATTCAGCCCAGGGCGTTCCCATCGGGCGGTAAGCTCCGCGGCACACAGGTGCGAGAAGCTTACAGGTGTTGGTGCTCCCGCCTGATAAGAAGCATACCCGTGACGTCAGGTCGGCGCAGGTAGAGTATATGAGTCGGCCCCGGAGTGGCATCCACGTCACTCGTTCTTGAACCTCTTCCGTTCGTTTGCTCTCTCCCATAGTAAACTTGTTCGAACCACACCACGGTTTTTTATATTCCTTCTTGTTCCATCCGCGTTACTCGGTGGTTATTCCTCCAGTTTGTTTTCTGTAAACCGAAGGACGTTCGTTTAGAAGAAGTTCGTCGAGTGGCGGTATCGCATACGTACGTTCCATCCGGAAGTTCGTCGCGACCGGGCGCTGTGTGTTTGATACCCCGGGGCCTCAGCGATCAGGTAAGCACACGGAAGTAGGACCAACGACAGCGATTCCCCGATTCCGTTCTTCGACCACGTAAAACCATCGATCCATCATGGTGAATCGTTTAACGTTTCGAGTATCGAAGAGTTGGGAGGTGAAGAGGAAAAGTTATTGTATACCTCGAGACGAAGCCGCGTGGAGACAGCCGGTGGAAGTTCCTGCGACCTCGTGCACTTGCCAGGCTGGAACACTTCTTGCCGTTGTAATCTTTTCATGTGTAAATTCGAGGGACATAAGTAATTGCCGGCGGGTAATACAGACGGCGATGGCTTTGCAGTTCGAATGACGATTATGTAACGTATGTACGGGCACACCGGCGATGAAACTTTTACGACGGACGCGCGATAACGATATCGAATTTTCAGGTGCCTTGTACGGTTAGTCCTGCAACGATGTTTACGGGGAAATATTCTATGGTTTGAGTAAATAGAAACTTCGGTTGTTTGTATCGTCCCGTTCGATCGTGGAGATCTACATATTTGTTCAACTTAAAAGGGGGCGAAATTTCGTTGGATAAGGTGTAACTTGTTTTTCTAAGGAGATAACAGTAAGAGTTCGATAGAAATAGCTTCCAAGGCCTGAAATTTGATATTTTGAATTTAGAAAACGGTACACCTTCGTTTCAAATTGTAGACAGAAACAGATTTTGAATAGGAAAACTGTGGAAGTTGTTTTTCGTGGTGTTCGAAAAACAGGATTTTATCTTTGTTTTCTTGTGTTTGAGGTAAAGATAGAACGTGACTAAGAAATTTTGGTAGACTTTACTCCGTTAATTGCATAATCATAATTAACAATCGTGACAAAAGACACGTCGCCGCTGATAATGAAATTGTTACGATCATTGCGATAACGAAGCTACTTAGTAGTCGTGTGCATTTCGTTCGCTGTAATCTGAGGGGCCGAAGAATCTTTGGTCTTTGGGGGACGAAGACATATTTTATTACAGTATTATCTGTGCATCTAGCGTTGATAATTCTGCAAAACGCGAAGCAGGCGTGCAATTAAGAACGAAGATATCGAAGGTATTAAAGTTTATAAATATAGAACGAAACGAAGCGAATGGATCAGTGTATGATTATGTGACTTCAGTCCTCCATATATTGAAGACAATTTTAAATCTCTTTAAAGAGACCGTGTAAATCAAATAACAATGTGAAATGGAACACCGCGTTTCATGTATCGTAATCGTAAGTTTGTTTGAATTCGTGACAATTTAATAATTTATTACATGATCCCTGGTGATCACGTGTCGAGCGTGTTCTACGGCTTCCAAGGAGAGAACTATTGCCGCAGGATTTTCGGTAATACCGGCGCCAGTCAACCCGTTATCACGTTATCGCATCGTCTACTGATAACGTGCAATCGTTGGCTCTTCTCGAAGATGATACCCGATATTTGTCGTCAGGTTTAACAAACGAATGTTTTTATTGATCCTTCAGGAACGCAATGGAAGAGCACACAAAGAGGAACCGCCTACGCACCTCCTCGCGATTCCTCGAGTCATCGCGAAGGACGTCCCATTGTACAACTTCGTAAAGTTCCCCTTCGCATCGGCTAAACGTCGGGAAAAAGCGTAAATTTCATTGTGACGTTACACAAATGCGACTTATTATGCGGTTACACAATTTTTAACTGTATTTTCCGCGGTCGAGAACGCAATATTATTGACAAGTGATATTAGATTATTGAAGAGGTTGTCATACATTTTTCCATTTCGGATGGCGTTTATTACAGTTCTTCTGATTCCTACAAAGTTTAATCTGTATGAAAATGTAATAAATTAAGGCAGTCGATAATTTTTACTAGCGATAATGTAGGTTTTTCATCGATCTAATATTTATGATAAGGTTCACATTGAACGATTCTATTTATACTAAATAAGGATTCGAATACCTCGAATATTCGACGGTATTATCTTGTAACAATCGCGAGGTCGAGGAGTTTGTTTAGATAAGGGAAAGAAAATAGAGATACCGGGAAGGTGTATGTAAATACCTCTAAACTGCTCCAGCTCTACCAAATGTTTGCCTGTTTAAGCAGTTGTTCGTAACAGGAGAAAATGTCAACTGAGCAAACAGAATCGGAGGCTACCACATTACCGCCGAAAAACGGGAAAGTTTCAGCGTCTGCTGTCAGTTTATCTGAAAATTAGTTAATACCCGTTAATTATAGTTAACACGAGCGTGGTTGCCCGTTTATAACGATAATTTACTGGCCTTTACACAGTCGATGTATGTTTTTAATCAATTTTCATGTGCGAAACTTTCTCGACTAATTTTTCAACTTTTTTGTATTAATTAGATCATTTTTTCGGTTACAAATGTGTGTATATAGCATAAATTCAGAATAACGAATTAACTTCTATGTCCCCTGTTGAACAAGTTCAGATTTTCAAAAATCATGGGCCACTCGTTAGTACAAATATATATATTTCTTTAACAACTACTGCTATCAGATAACCGTTATCAAGGAAATTAATTATTCAAACATATCTCGTATTGATATTATCGATGAGAGTCGGAGTTCGACTCTCTGTATCGCACTCTTGATGGTACCTGAGATCTATTATTAGGTGGTTACAATTTCAGATTAAAATATGTAATCGAGACACGCATTTTGGAAAATTTGGGTCGGAGGGGAAAACTTTCTTGGAAAAAGTCTTTTCATCCAATCGGAGCAAACGATACTTCGGTTCTTGGACGCTTCTCGCGATTTCCAAATTTATCTATAATAATTCAAATTACTTTTATTATTATATAAACATAGATTATTTCTCTGTATAAGCAACTATTTTTTAAAATTTGAACTTAATATGGCAACACTTCCGGCAGGATGACTTTATACAGATCCAAGGATATTGAAAATTCTGAACAGAATGTATCTGAAGGGTAAAACCGTTTGCCTCGATCACATTACGACCCCGCGGTTCATTGTGTTCCGCAGACTCGAATGCTGTATGGATGAAATAGAATAAAAAGAAAGTGTTAACGACTCGTGGCACGAGCTAACGCGCGGAGGTTATGTTTACCGCGCAATCAGGTGGCGGCGCTAAACAGGAAGAGGCTCCTCGCACCTTCTCGATAATAAGCGGAGCTGCTACGCTCCAGCACGGCGACAATTTCTATCTATCGGTATTTTCTTTCGAGCGACCGATCCTCCTCAGTTAACGCTTCGAGCTAAATAAAGATTTCGACAAAGCTGAATCCCATTGTCGAAACTTCTATTTTGAGAATCAGATAGTGGTGCAAAAGTTTGCAATCATTCTTAATCGATTTCGTGACAAATAAGTACCATTAAAAACAGCACACCGTTTAGCACAACAATACACATATGTACTTTACTGGAAGTAAAATTAATTACGTCACAATTAGTCTGCAAATGTTTATACAAATTCTAGTACTTTAATTATTGTACGTTACCGGAGTCTCGTACTTAACATGTATTAATATCATGTTGTAGTAGTAGTACTTAAACATGTATTAAATATCATGTTGATGAAATGTATTGGCTATCATCGACAATAGAAGAAATGTAGCAGCTCCAACAGTATGGGATAAGGACGATAAAAAACGGAATACATTCTGGAAGAAGAGGAAGAATTAAGGGCGTGTACTATGAAGAGAGCTATCCATCGACAGTATGGTGATAATAGACACTGTCATGGAGTTGCTCTCTTTGTGGAAGCCGCCAGGGTCACCGTTTTTCAGGACTCGTCTTCAAATAATGTACTTTATATTTACAGGCAATGAAGTAAATAACGAATAAATTTATAGTAAAATAATTTGAAAAATAATATATATGAATGACAAATTTATAAAATTGTCCACTGTCTTACTTGTCACGGAGAACCAAAATAAGTGTATTCAGCTTTTCTATGTCCATCATCAAAAAATAAAAAAGAACACAATTCAATTTCCTTATCGTTGAAAACAACATGCTGTACAGAATAAAATATTTAAATACCTTCCCTCCTCTTTTATTTGAATTTTTTTTCTTCCGCAAGTGACAATAGTCGGAGTTTTCTACTTCATTTGCATACCTAGATAATAACTCTCATAGTGTTGCAATGGCGCGCGGCTACGTGACTTGGCCGCGTATTTTTAGTGAAAAGAACAGTGATTGATACGACATCGACTGTTTCAACTTGCATACTTTTACCATTGATTGTCGCGCAAACATGAAGAAACATTCACAAATTTCATAAATTGTATGATTAGATAATAAAAAAAAAACATTGTCATTTAACTAACTAGACTTTGAGCTGAAAGACTCGGTGAGTCATATTGATATTCTTAATTTATTGACACTGTATAATGTTTCGGAAATTTAAAAGTCGTACAGTATATATATATATTACGTACAGTTCCATTTATATGGCTTTGTGTATTAAGTGATACGTTTTTAATAAATAACTCTGCAAAAAGCATATTGTTATACTGAAATCGTTAACCTTAATTGAATGCTGGTTATATATAAAATCATTTATCATCACTTTGTGACTCTGAAGAATCTAAATATACAATACATATGTATATGTATATGTAGTTAATTGATATGATATCCTGTATTCGTTCCTTACATCATCCCTTATAATGTTTGATAATCAAGAAAAGATAACAAAGCACAAAGTTTATGTACATTAATTTATTGTTCCCAAACAAAATTACTTTCGGAAAGTATACTCACAGAAATTAGCATCTTTGATAAAAACTGATAATAAGGTAATAATGTGATATACATAATGATAATGTGGTATCAATAAAAGTATAGAAGTCTATTTAGCACTGTACATAATTATTTTTTTATTATTTGGAAGGTTTGAAAAAATTCAATCGGTAGAATCGGTAGTGTAGCCATATCTTTATGAACATAGTAACAAGTCAAATGAATTGTACTATTGTTGCCAATGTTGACAACAATTACCTATATTTCCGATTTATTGGTAGAAACGGAATAACAAATTATGCTTCTCATAAATTAATTTCTGCAACATAGTTGAAGTGTCAAAGGTAACAAGTTTTATTAATGTTAGATAGAAAATTATTGAAAACATTTAAAACATTTTATGTAGGGACGTTTTCCACGACAGTGAACGTGTGACATTATTGTATTGAATTGAATCGAGTGAAGGTGGCACAAAATGGATGCTGCTTGCAAATACATCAGTTTTAACTAAACATCGGCTCACAAAATGGGAAATCAGTTAGTTGGCATCGCGCCTAGTCAAATATTTCCAGTAGAACATTACTTGACGGATCACAGTGACTTATTATTTGATGTAAAGTAAGTATATCCATCCGATATTCAGTAAATGAAACACTGGTTTTTTTTTACCAACCTATGTTCTGTCAACGTTTCACTGAACATACTGTAAATGAAAATCAAAATAATCGGTGTTTTTCATCATTAAGAAATAAAATACTGTGCTTAGAAGTGTTAAACATGTACAACGAATTGTATAAGGTATACGAATCTCATTATTTGACTCTAAATATTTATGCAAATGTTCTGTTTTAGAATCATTTATAAAAACAGGAATTAAACAGAAACTGATTTCCTTTATCAAGACTTTCACTGGTTTAAGAATGACATAAAAACATTTAATTTCATGAATGTTTTGCTATTTACATCTGTCATAATTGTGTAAAATCCACATTGATCATATAATTTCAGTCTGTTTTTCAATTTAATAATTACCCATTAACCATCCACAGCTTAGGAAGTACCAGATTTTTTAAAGTCGCCCGAGCTAGGAGCCAAGAAGGTCTTATAGTGGTGAAAGTTTTTGTTATACATGATCCGACACTACCATTATCTGCTTATAAAGATAAACTTGAAGAAATTAGATCTAAATTAGCATCTGCTGTAAATTGCCTACCATTCCAAAGAATGATTGTGAGTATCTTTGTTTAATATCCACACATTTTCTAATGTATCACAAATATTTGTGTAAGAAAACATAATTATATGTTTGTACTAGCTCACAGAAAAGTCAGGGTCAATTATGAGGGAATATGTGAAGTACTCCCTTTATGATAGAATCAGTACCAGGCCATTTTTATCAAGTATAGAAAAAAAGTGGATTACCTTTCAAGTTTTATATGCATTGCACCAAGCTCATAAGGTGAGATAATATTTAAAGGACCATAGGTTACACATAATAGTGTCAAGATGTCAACAAATTTATTTTTGTTTAAGTCACAAACAAATTGATTATGTCCTAGAGTTTCAGTTGCTTTGAAAATTAATTCATAGCTGTTAAAACAACACATCAAAATGCTTTTCACAGTATCAAACAATGAACACACGTACAGCTCTGTAGCTCTGAAAGAACATACGATAGACTCCATTGACATTACAGTTTTACACAAGAAAAAGATTAAAGTGTCGCTTCTCGTTTAACTGTAGTTTGGAGTCTGCCACGGTGATATAAAACTAGAAAATATTATGATTACCAGCTGGAACTGGATTTTACTAACAGACTTTGCAAGTTTTAAACCAACTTACTTGCCTGAAGATAATCCAGCTGATTTTTCGTATTTCTTTGACACATCTAGGAGAAGGTACATTGTATAACATATTTTATGCTGTCAGTATTACATCATTATACTAAACTGTTTTGTCATAATATTTCAGAACATGTTATATTGCCCCTGAACGGTTTGTGAAAACATTATCTTCAGAATTAAGCAATACATTATTATTATCAGAACAAGAGCTAAAGACAGGTGATTTGCATCCAATGATGGATATTTTTTCTGCAGGCTGTGCTTTAACAGAATTGTATAACGAAGGACATCCTCCGTTTGACTTTTCTCAACTATTAGGTGCGTGTATGATGCGTAAAGATTATTTGTAGCACGTAAATACGGTGTTATTGTGAGTAAATATTTAAAAATTATTTTATTCTGATGTATTAAGCATATAGAAACAATGAGTATTCGGTGAGCAAGCATTTGGATACAATAGAGGATTCAGGGATACGTGAATTGCTTGCATCTATGCTGGAGAGAAATCCAGCAAACAGGAAAAGTGCCGAAATTTATTTGGCCCAGGCTCGTGGCACAATATTTCCAGAATATTTTTATTCATTTCTGCAATCTTACATGCTTATTTTCTCTGCCGCTCCAATTCTTTCGCCAGATGAAAAAATTAATAGACTTAAGAAAGATATTGGTAACATTATCAATATTTTGAAAGCAGAAGAAAGTGAAAGAATGAAGAATAATAGAAAAACTACAGAGACCAATAGAAATAATCAGTATGACAATAACATAGAATCAACTAAAGATGATTCTGGTCACAGTGAAGAGAATACCATTGTAGATCTTGATAGTGATCAAAGTTTTGATAAAAGTGAATTAAATCAGGTTGATGCAAAAACAGTTTCAATGCAAGGGAGTAAAACTGAGAATCATGCAGTTCCGCAACCAGATACTAAAGTACATGAAGAACAAAAACAAAAAGTAGACATGGAAAGTGACAAGAAATCTTTTTTAACTCCGGAACCTCTCGAGGGATTGGTTATCATAACTCAGCTAGTGACCTCGTGTATACGAGGCTTACATCATTCTCAATCCAAATTGCAAAGTCTAGAAATATTACTTGAACTAGCTGAGAATACATCAGATGAAACGATACTAGATCGAATTTTGCCTTATATTGTAAGCGCATTTACATACAATACGAATAGTTTTAGGAAATGTTAATATTATATTTATATAATATATTTTACAGTTTCATTTAGTTCACGATCCTGCTCCACGAGTAAGAGTATCAGCTATACATACATTGACAAAATGTTTACATCTCGTGAAATCAATTCCACCGTCAGATGTAAACATTTTCCCGGAATATATTTTGCCAGGTCTAGCACATATTACGCAAGACGAAGCGGTGATCGTTAGAGCTGCTTATGCGGAGAATATTGCACATCTAGCGCATATTGCGCTACGTTATTTGGAGAATTCACACTTATCTAACTTAGGTAATAAGGAAGGCCCAAGACCAAGTTATGACAGTGAACTTCAGACATTGCATGAAATGGTAATTAACTGAATATTTTCGTAATAGTCTTCTTGTTTGGTATGTACTAAATCATGTGATATTATTAGGTACAACAGTCTGTGTCCATGTTATTAACAGATCCCCAAAATTTAGTAAAACAAACATTAATGGAGAGTGGTATAAATAAACTGTGTGTATTCTTTGGCAAGCAAAAGGCAAATGATATCTTGCTTAGTCATGTTATTACTTTCTTAAATGATAAGGAAGATAAGGAACTGAGAGGTTCCTTTTTTGAATGCATTGTGGGCGTAGCTGCATATGTTGGATGGCATAGTAGTCCTATACTCATGCCCCTTCTTCAACAAGGATTAGCAGACCCTGAGGAATTTGTGACGACGAAGGCGATTAATGCAATGGCGACGCTCACAGAATTAGGTCTTTTACATAAATCTGCCCTTTATCAACTTTTAAACGAGACTATGGTCTTTTTAGTAAGTTCTACTTTAGCAATACAATGGTTAAAGGGTGATATTCCTTAATATCAAGTATCCTCAATGTAATGTCTTATATAGGTACATCCAAATTTGTGGATAAGACATGCAACAGTTGGTTTTATATCCGCTGCAGCAAGAACGCTTAACTTAGTGGATGTTCAGTGCAAAGTCCAGACAATGATTCAGCCGTACTTAAAGCACCCTCTAATTCAGATAGAAAAAGAGATATTACTATTAGAAGCTTTGGTACCACCTATACCAAGAATAGTTTATGATTCTGTGGTGAAATATAACGATATAGAAGAATTGTTCCAAGTTCTTGAGCAAAGACAAGCAGCTCGAGTTAAAGCGGCGACGGGAATAGTATCACAATACAGCGAAATGAGTACATCGTTACGAAACGTGAGTTATAAGTGTCTTTATGCATACTGTCGCAAGTGACATGTATTCTATAAATTTCGAGAGGAATAAACGAAATACTTATAGCTTTTCAGACGATTAAGTTCGGAATCGATGACCGAGACTGTCGAAGATCAATTAATAGTAATGAAGCCGCACCTAATGAAAATTAATAAATATCGGAATTCGATGGACGCGAAACAAAGCACGACTAAATCTGTGGATGGGAAATTAGAATTAAATTCTATGAAGGATAGAATACGACATCATATCGTAATATTGTATCCCGACACAAAAGCGGATCTAGGTTTGCCGCCATTTAAACGATTAGATCGCAGAACTTCGGACAGTGTTGGCACATACGCGACGATGAACCAAGAATGGCGTACAATGTTCGCAGCTCAAGATAATGTTCAAGTAATTGAAAAAATTCGATCTATGTACATTGATTAAGTCTTATGAAATTATGTCATTGATTATTTTATCTATTGTAGCATACTGTTAAAATGTCAGATATGACGGGAAGTAGTGGAAGTCCTAGCCAAAGTTTGCATGGCGGAGATATACATTTATCGCCTCAGCACAGTTTGTCTGATATGAACAGCATAAATGATCACTCCCTTCATGAACGTTCATATATTCAATGTATGTCTTTCTCAGAATGCTCTTTGATGTTAACGTAAAGAAAATGTTACAAGAAATACAACTTTGTGTAATTCTTCAGACAGGTGTGCACCTTGTAGATTAGAGGTGAGACAGTTGACATACAGAAAGCAAGAACAGCATGCTGCAGCATTAAGAGCACAGCACTGGGCTGATAACATTGCATGGCAAACTGGTAATTAATAGTCATAAATTTTACAAGGAATAATAATATTTGTAATAAGTCTTTAACGGTCTGCGCTAGGTTCAAGATTATTACCAAGTGGTTGGAGACCTCGAGGTGTACCAGTTGCTCATCTTTATGAACACAGAGCTGCTGTAAATAGGCTAGTTTCTATACCGGATACTAGTCTTTTCGCGAGTAGCTCCGCGGATGGATGTATTAAAATTTGGGATGCCAATAAAATGGAAGGCCGCAACATAGCTAATCGCTCTAGGTAGCTGATTCTTCGAATTTCTATATCATGTTTTTAACGCGTGATTTGTTTACAAGTAATGCATACTTCATATTCCATTAGGCAAACTTACATGCATAGAGGTGGTTCTCTAGTTGGCTTAGCAGTGTGTGATCAAGGACAGTCATTAGCAAGTTCTGCTAGCCAATCAGCCACAGTGTTTGTTTTACGTATCGAATCGAATTCTAGCAAAATGAGTGTTATTGGAACCAGACAATTAGATCTTCAGGTGACTATATATACGACACAATATCATTCTATTCCCATTCTTACCATTGAGATAAGTTGACATACATATATCTGAATTATAATTCAGGAAGAAGGATGTGCTGTTGATCTACAGTATTTAGATTCTGGATCACAATCAGTTCTTGTATATGCTTCCTTGTATGGATCGTTAGTGGGCTGGGATTTACGGTGTCGTGGTACAACGTGGCGTTTAGAAAACGATCTGAAGCATGGCGTGATCACCTCCTTTTGCGTGAATAATTATCAACAATGGTTGACTCTCGGTACAAGTTCAGGCGTGCATACATGTTGGGATTTGCGATTTCAGTTGCCAATAACCAGCATTAAACATCCCACTGGTAAGTTGATAAAGTCTATTGAACTCGTTAGAATAAAGTACTTGACAATTTTTATTTTTGTACGCAATTCATTATAGGCGCGAGAGTCAGAAGGGTAATTACACATCCGTCAGAGCACTCGTGGATAATATCTGCTATGCAAGGTAACAACGAAATCTCCATGTGGAATCTTGAAACTGATTTTCGGCAAATGGTCCTTTGGGCGTCCAGTGCCCCTCCACTCAGCCACTCCCAAGGCGGTCACAGCGTGTGTGCGATGTATTCCGGATGCATCGATCGTTCTGGCTTTCTGTTGGCTGGTGGTACCGACATGAGATTACGTTTCTGGGATTTGAATACTCCCAACGAATCGTATGTCGCGTTGCCCGCAGCTAATGACGTCACCTCCCCAAATTCGTTAGCGTATGAGTTAGTATTCCCTATTCGATGACGCCAAACGTGTTTCCTTTGAAACTTGTATTCATTTATTTCGAAGTTGTTATACATATACTCTATATACATTGCATGAATTATCGATATAAATTTAAATACAGCATGGCACAATTTACGTCATGGGTTAGATACATTGCTCTCTTTTTTTTTTATTTAGGCAACGTCTGATAGATGGAACAAACGTAGTACAAGAAGTCTTGGCCAGCGGTGGGCCCACACCGTCGTCAGGTGGAAGCAGTGTTCGAACAAGAAACTCCGAGGAAGGCGGCCAGGGACCGGAAACACCACCGTCAGGACATCACGACACGATCTCCGCCGTGGCGATGTCGAACACGTGTATTCTGACTGGCAGTACAGACGGCTTGATACAAGTTTGGAAATGATTGTTCTCTCCGTCTTCGTCAACGGTATTCCTTCAACGTTGCATACACACACACTGTGTACAAATTTTTCTAACGCAGAAAACGATACTATCGGACATCGAGATTTTTGTACGAACGTGTTAGTACAGTAACTCTGTGATTCTTTATTTGTATATAATATGTAATATATTTGAATCGTAATTTATTAAGACCATCGGTAGTCATAATAATAACAATACCGTATGCATTTCTGGGAATGGAACGTAACGTTTAAGTTACTCCAACACAATACCGTGATTCTTGTGTGTAATATAAATGATTTATTTTTCTACATAAAAACGAAAGAACCGAGAAGAAAGAGCTTGCTGTACTGTAACATACTGTGTATATATATATGTATATATATATACAGTAAATATTTACATATAGAGGTAGCATAGCAGCAACGACTAATCATGACGTGTTAGTAAAAAAACAGAAACTATACAATCAGTGTACAAATGGATGCGTCGTGACGAAATTGAATTCTTGGTAATGTAATTTATACTGGCTGACGTATACTGACTGCGTACTTTTGTGTTAGTTCAATAGTTCACTTGTATACCGACTGAAATACTCAAATAACCAGTGAATATCCTTCGTACTCCCTGATATTGTTACAATAAATTCATATTTTTAACGCACCTGTACGGGTCCGATTATTCGCGTTGAACGGCGTCAGGTCATCACCAGGGACAGACCGGTCCGGCAGGATAAGGGGCTCTTCCAGCGAACGCGTAAGGATCAGGATTTATTGTCCTACAGATTTCCTTCCATCTTTCTTTCCCTCCTTTTCCTTGTCTTCGTCTGTATTGTTGCTGTTTGTGATCCGTTGTCGGATGATTGTATCCCAGTTGTTCACCGAACAGAACCTCAAGCCATGGCGCACCGATCACGTTAACGATCAGCAGTAAGAATACGAACAAAATTCTCATTTTAAGCACACTGTGTCCTTTTCTTCCTGATTTACTTCAAGTGTTCTCGGTTAAAAATTAGTAAACACCTAAAATGAAAAATCAAACTGAATATATTATGAAATAAATTTTTCAAATAATGAAGCTGTTGCGTGTTTTGTTTCAGATCGAATGGTGCTTCGAACTGTTAAGCGACAGTATACATTTAAACGCACGGGTAACCAAGCGCTGAGCAAAATATGTACAAAACTTTCATGCCAAAACGCCGAATGACCAACCGTTGCGACACGTGCTTGACGAAATCGTAATTTTTTACTTTCGAACCTCACACTTTCTGAGCATCTAAGTACAACTACACTTCCTTCGTCAGGATTCTTCAACCCTCGTTCTCGAGACCACGATCGAATTGAAGCGATGATCTATTCGCCTGCGGATAATTCGACCGGTATTTTTTGTTTTCGACTTTTTTTCAACGGAAGTTCGAGCTGTATACTCGCAGTAACGAGGCACACTCTCGCAATGGAGTGATGCTGGATGTTTACCGCTGTTTTATACACCAAGACTGCCCTACCGCTCAGAGAAAAAATCGCGCCGATGGACGTTGCAAATACGTTTACGTGTTTCCGCCATTGTTCGGTATCGTTAAGATAAAACGGAATTTTTTTCTAAATTATTCATTTGAATCATTGATCTTTCGTCAGCATGGAATATTTTTGGATGAGTTTTGGCTTTGATTGATTCTGATTACTTTTAGATCCGTGAAGGTAGAAGAGGAGAAGAAGACGTGTTCCCAACTCCCATTGATCTTGGAGAACGGTTTAGTAGCTTCATAAGCTCTTTTTAATTACTGTTTTAGTTATGTTTTCTCTAATGAAAGATTTTTTAGTGTTACAGGTGCCATACAGAAACAGCATCTTTGGACATTAATTTATGAACATTTGTGCCGATGATTATGAAAGTCGTGTAAGTCATATATTTTTCGGTTCGAAAATTCTTTCATAATATTCAAATATAAATTAATGTAACATAAAATAAGAGAAAAACTCAAATTTTATTTTGATCTTTTGACTTACACCACTTTCATAATAACCGGCTCATTTGACCAGTTTCAGGTAGTACATGATGCTTTGAAGACGCCCATTTTACGGATATATTAAGTCTAAGGTGCCTTTAAGCCGTCTTCAAGGCGTCATTGGGCGTGATGTGGTGGGGTGTACTCTAAATTCACGTTATGTGCGTAACAATGGAAGAACACACGTGCCTCTGTCACATTGAACTTGGGGGAAGACCCTATCTGCATGTCTTCTCCGATGGAAACATGATTTTTATTCGCGATGCGTACCGGCTTTTTCGTATTCCGCGCGTACAACGGTTTCTGTCTCAAGAAAATACACGATAATATAAGGAATGCTGATTTAATTATAGTTACTAACTGACTTGGCACGCAGATGCGCAGAAATTGCATTCCCGTTCTTCTTTGAACTACCATCAGTAAAAAGAACCTTTAGAATTCGAACATAAGCGCGCATTTTGGTGACAAATTATTATTCCGATTAAAATTGTTTGCATCCAAATTTGTGATTTTAAGAAATTAAATGATATAACTCGTCGAATGAAAGATAATAATTCCATGAAAGGAATGGAACACTAATCAATTTACGGTTCTTCGCGCGATAACAAGAAAGATTACGAACTGCCCTACTTTATAGCAGTTTTGTGTCAAGGTGACTTATAATTCTGATGTTTGCACTGTCTCTGGAAATTAGCATCACGCGAACTAAATACGAGTAAATACAAAAATGGTAAGAGGTTTAATCAGAATAATCATATTCTTCTTTCATTCTTGAGATAAAACACAAGAAAAGATGACCATGTTGTACCCCAGGGCCAAGTATACCTGAAAATCGTCCGTTTACTAAATAAGGTCAATTTGAGGATGGTAAAAAGTTTAATGAGAACAATATTATTCCTCTTTTTATTCTTGAAATAGAACGCAGGGAAAAGAAGGCCCCGCTAATTGTACCTCGGGGCCAATTATACCAAAAAATTACCAATCAACATATATTTTTCAACTTGTCATTGTCGAAGATTATCTGTTTACCGCAAGATAGGTCAAAGGGGCGAATAGATAGTTTTCAAAGCAAGAGTCGCCGCGATTTTCAGCGCGGCCGAATTGCGGGGCATTCTGCAAATAGCAAACAGCACGGTTACATGCAATCGTTCTTATTAAGGTTCACCGTGACTAAGCCGCTACTATTTCCTATTACCGTAATAGCCGGTTTTGCAGGCTGTCGAACTATTAATAGCGTTCGCCAGAGAAAGTCCACGGCGGCGGAACGTTTCGCGCGAAAGGGATTCGCGATCCTCGAACGATTTTCTCGGCGGATCCGGTCGGTTCGGCTCGATGGATTCTTGAACATTAACGAGCGCCAGTAACAGATAGACGGATAACGGGGTCACAGTGAACTAGACTTAATTACGCAAATCGCTCGTTGATAACGTGACCTTCCAGGTTGAACAAGATAAACTCGTTCCTCCCGCCAAAAGACGCGAAAGAAATCCTCGAACCGGAAGATTCTAACCGGGGAATAGATGAATCATCGGACGTCGGAGTCTCGATGTGAAATAAAATGTACTTTACGTGTTCCCGGCTAATTAGTATTCTATGGGAGACACGCGCGTGGAAATACATGAATAAGTAGCTTCTATAATAAGACGTTTATCTCGAGATTGGGATACGTCAGGCGGTACTTTGTATGCGTTCGTTCGTTAGTAAATAAATATGTTATTCTTCGTCGCTTGTACCACTGGGAACGCTTACAACTGTTTGTAATCCCGGTAAGAAGAAGTTGGAATCGAACATTGCAATTTTTCATTCAGAAAAGACATCATCGCGTTCTGTTGATCTGTTCTAAATTCATTATATTAATTTATGTAGAGTACTTGAGAATCTTATATCTACATTTATTAACAATAGAATTATCAAAGCAGTCAAGTACACTTTTGTAACATGGATTAAAATTAATGTTACAAGAAGACATTTTCTCAGATATTTTACAACTTTTATTGCAATATGAACGTAAAAAAATTGGGTAATTTAAAAATTTGAATACTTTCAAAAGTTTGTCATATTTATTGATCCGATAGAAACAGACACATGTTTATTATTGGTAGGTAGTTCTAGCATTAATGGAACGAATAAAAAGAATACTGACGCACACTGTCTACGTTAGAAAAATAAATAAAACGATTTTACGATCTACTCCCCTCTGCAATATATTTGTAGACATTATCAAATTTTATCATAAAAATAAAACGTACTTTGACATTCCGTTTAACGTTTTATTAACGTGTAAAGCGGGGGATGTGGAGTATCACCCAGCGAATATATTCGCGCGAGGCGTATCCTTCGGATTTATCGTCTAAATATTTTGAATACTAGACTCGTTCCGTTCACCCCCGAAACGATCGAGAATGGCGATATCCACGTAACGCATAGATTCTCTTTTTGTGTACTCTAAAACAGAAACGAAATATTCCCATTGTTTGTGTTACAAGTGACATTTTTTGCAATTCTGAAAGTTTTAAGAATGTCAAACAGTCTCAATGTCGAGGACGACAGTCTACAAGTCAGAAACCGAGCGAGCCTGTCATTGAAGATGCAACGAGGCCTTAAAAAAATGAAGAGAAGCATTCAGAAGATGACCGGTACGTTTGTAATTGAGCTAAATTATGACCGGATAATTATTACCTTTGATACTGAATATTATATAAAATGTTTCTGGTATCAATGGTTTAACGATACAGTGTGTTGAAAAACAAGAATAACTTGAACAAAAATATTTTGGTAAAGATTAATTACTCAGTTCAGTACAACTTATTTGTAGAACCACTTCTAGCCCAGATGTACTACTCCTTCCCACCTTTGCAACATCCTGTATCGTCTACTAATATGTACTAGCGATAGACTGCTTAAAATAATTCATTTATAACTCCGCTAGTTTAGATAAAAATTATCGTACAAGACTATGTTCAATACTTTTAGAATCTTCGACGACTGTACAACCTCACTGCGTTTTCGTAGAGAACATGCAAGACGACGAAAAGCAGCCGGCATATATATTCCCGGAGAGACTCTCCTCTTTAACGTGCCAAACGGGCTTCTCGAAGGACGAGATACGAAAACTCTATCGAGCGTTCAAACAGTCTTGTCCACGAGGAGCCGTGACCACAAACGACCTGAAACCGGCGTACGCGAAATTATTCCCGTTAGGGGACCCGGCCAAGTACACACAGATTATTTTCAACACCTTCGACCGAGACGGCGACGGTGTGGTCAGTTTTCAAGATCTTCTTGCTGAAATAGCCCTGATCACGAACGGCGATCTGGACCAGAAGCTCTCCTGGATCTTCAGGTGATTCGGTATAAACATAGCAGAACGGTTTCTGGCTCGTCTTTATTTTACTTTCTAGTCTTGCCCCGGCCTCTCGTTAGGTTTTACGATCTGAACGGAGACGGTTACATCACCAGAAAGGAAATGTTGGTCATAATATCCGCGATTTACGAGATGCTGCATAACGGAAAAACTATCCAGCGAATGGTCGACAGGCACGTGGACATGGTTTTCGAGAAGATGGACGCCGATAAGGACGGAGTCATATCTCGAGAGGAATTTATCAACAGCTGTAAAAATGTACAATAAATTAGTATGGTTGTTAGTGCAAGGGAATCTTGTTGACACTTGAAACACTTTATGCGCATATAACACTCAGAATGCCAGCCGTAACTATTCAAAAATATATTATTAACCAATATTAATTCTTTTGCTTTTATTTCAGGATTCTTTGATTCAAAATCAACTGGCGATATTTAATCAGTTTTGGTGATAAAATACATAAGTACCAAAGTTTTCTAAATTGTATTATTCGTTTAAAAAAAAGTGCGACTCTGGAATCCTCCGACTTCATACGTGTTCTTATTCCTATAATAAAATAGTACAATTATACAGCACAGGTTTCTCTTAAAATTAAACAACACGAAGTTACTAACGATTCAATCACATATCAACTTTCCTGCTTCCACAAAGATATAGCTGGCACAGTCTTTAGCAAAACAGTTTTGTACTTCTAAAACAATCTCTTCTGTAAAATGTAGAAGACGCAGGCTAGGAAAAATGCAAATGCTAGTGCTAATAAAGCTTTGTCCGTAACTTCTCTTCTACCGTATTTGCCTAAGAGTTTTCCCGATTGAACTATCACTTGTTGCTGATGTTCCAATTCACCTTTAGTACTAGACACCTTATCAGATGAAGTTACTGTAACATACAAAAGTTCAAATTACATAAATCACATTTTATCACAAGTATATCGAACCAATCCATGTAAAAAGGATTAATGTACTTAATGTATCCAATGTGTTTGCACTTCTTTGAGTTGTTTCAGCCAAGTGTCTAGATATACTTAAGAGTTTGTCAGAAAGCTGATTGGATGTGTTTGCCAAACTTCGTTTATCGTGTCTTCTACGAACAGCAGCTTGATGTTCTTCAGGCATTGACAATAGTTCCTCCTTGGATAGTTTATCTATCACACACATGCTAATGACATTGGCTTTACGAAATGCAGCCAAGGAAGTTTTAGACTGCTCCTTATAAGTGTCTATTTCTACTTGTAATTCTATTCTTTTTTTCTCCACGAGCTCTCTTTCTGCTACTGACTCTAGCTTGGATATGGATGATTGTAGAGTTTCTAACTTTGCCCTGCCTTCTGCATTCAATTCCATTAGCAGCTCTAGAGGACCAGTACATTGTTGTATATCCTAAAAAATGATATCAATTAGTAAAACAAAAACATTAAAATAAATATTACTTTTTGCATATTTGTACAAGGTTAGAACTATTACTACAATAAAAACATTAGTAACATGACATTTTTCTATATTGGGCTATTTATTAAACGTGAAAATAATAATTCAATAATTAAACTATATATTATTTATAATGTGCGGTCAAAAATACATGTTTGTTAGTATTGGAATGCGAGGTTACATTCGAGTTTGTTATTAAGAAAATGTTTTGTTTTAAATAATAATTACTTGAATTAAAGCCGTAAGTTGAAGATGGTTTTTTACAATATCTTGACGTATTAGCTCCAATTCGTAATCCTTGGTGTCCATCGGTGCACGTGTGCTTTGACAGTTCGTTTGTGTACCCTATTCTGTCATAAGTAAAAATGGAACGTGGCAATAAGTAATTAATATTTAGTGCGTTACAATTGCCACGTCATATATAAAACGGGAACAAAAGTTTCAAATGATGTGAATTCTGTGTGAGTTGTCAACTAACATTTATATACAATATCTGTAAAAGGTCCTTCTATTATTATCATATTATAGTTGAACATTTATGAAACCAATGGAATATACATATACTGTATTAAAACATTTATTTTTGCGATTAGAAAGGTGAATCATATTGGTACTGAACACTTCATATAACTTAAGCTAAGTAGGTACAGTTAGATGAGTCTGAGGTAATACAATTTATTAATGTACAATTTGAGTATTACACTGTTATCATACAACTGACAGAATATTTTCTGACACGTATAATTTCAGTTATAAATAAGACGTCACAGAAGATTGAATACACAATTCTATTCACAGAATATAATCGTCTTAAATAGAATTCTATCATCATAACGTTGATTTAAAACAGATAAGTTAGGTACAGTCTGCGTTGAAATAATACTGTACAATTCGAATGATCATTTCAACTGTTTTCGATAACGTGTGAGGAGCACAGTGTGCCTATTCTATAACATTCTATGTTACATAAGTCTCTTTAATATTAACAGAGACCATACAACAGTAATTACTTAACGAAGATGATGTATTACAGCGTTCGTGAAGTCTGTTGTAGAACTTTGTCCGCCTAGATCTTTTGTCAATACTTTTCCGTCGTTCAAGACATGGTTCAACGCGTCCTTAATTTGTTCAGCATAACGTTTCAAATTAACGTGACGCAGAAGTTTTACAGCGCACAAAAGCATAGCAGTGGGGTTTGCAACATTTTTGCCAACAGCCTCCGAATACGTGTGCCTTGCACCCTAAATTGCAGACTACTTTTTATTATGTTCCATATAAATTTGAAGTCAATTATTAAATGTTCACGTGTCAAGTGTGTTAATCTTACCGGTTCAAAGACAACACACTCAGGACTATAACTGGCACCTGCGACTACACCAGCACCACCAACCAGTCCAGATGCAAGATTATCAACAATATTACCATACAAGTTTGGTAATACCATTACATCAAATTGGTGTGGATTGGACACCATCTGCATTGTACAGTTATCAACAATCATTGTTTCAAATGTAACCCTGAAATTACATCAAAGTATATAATTGTTATCCACCAACAGATATGTTAAATATAAAAAAGTACAAAAGTGAAAATGAAATTCAAATTACCTAGGATACAGTTTGGCTATTTCTTGGCACGACTTTAAGAAGAGACCATCACCAAGTTTCATGATATTGGCTTTGTGAACACATGTAACCTTCTTACGATTATGCTTGACAGCATAATCAAATGCAAACTTTGCAATTCTTTGACTTTTAGTCGCAGTCACTATTTTCAAACATTCTACCACTCCCTTTACAGACTCATGCTCTAATGCAGAATATTCTCCTTCTGTTTGTTCTCTAATGATAATACAGTCCACATTCTTATGACGACATTTAACTCCAGGCAAAGATTTTACATGTACTACATTGGAGTATAAGTCTAAACTTTTACGTAATTTCATGTTCAATGTTTGGAGCTCTCCAGTCATGGAGTGGTCTGGTGTTGCTAGAATTCCCTATCAAATAATAGTTATTATTTAATACTAATCTATATAATATTAATAAAACATATTGTCATTTAATTATTGCATATGATAGTACCTTCAAGCATACTCGGTTTCTTGCAATGCTATTGGATACTTGTTCAAGTGGTGCACTTAAAGTTGGGTTTACTTCAGAAAGAAAATATGGTTCAAATTCAACCGGTATATTGGCTGCTTTAAATACACTCTGAACTGAAACCACTAGCTCTGGTCCAACACCATCTCCTGGTATAAGGGTACATTTTATCTTTCCTTCTTGTTCAATTGCCTAAAAGAAACAAATTGATAATTTATACAATGAGCACTTATAGAAGAAAGTTTATGTTAAAGTAAAGAGTGAGGTATCCTGAAATATGCCTTTTACTTCCACTATAAACTTTGCAGTTAGTTTATACAAATGACATCACATGACAACATTCCTCAGTTTGCATATAATATTGTGATATGAATATTATAAACAGACATATAGCATATAAAATTATGAATAATTTGTTTGGACAAGATATCTAGATTTTCCTTTAAAAATCAAATACATACTGTGTCTTGTTGTCGTACTGCTCCTACATGTAATGCCCTAATAGCTCCCTTTTGGGTAGTCTGTAAATAAAAATGTGCCAAACATTATTTCACGAATTTAATTCTTCACGACTTTTGGAAATATACAATCGAATTATTTGTACTGTATTAAGAAGCTATATTTATAACGATTGGATAACACAATCACTGCCGATCATTTTATTGATTCTATTAATTGCATTTCGAGGGTTTGTATGCCTATACAATTTATTACAGAAAACCAAAATATCGATTTATTATTTCATGTATCTTGTATCGTTAAATAAGAAAATTTTCATGCATCTTTAAGAGAAAAGTTATTTCGTGTGCAATGTCCTTGTGATGATCATTGGCGCTTTCCTCGTTTTTATATATCATCTGATTAAACTAATTGCTGGATACACAGTAATAATATTTCAATCGGATGGAATATAGGATGAACAAAATTTTTTCCATTTCTGTTGAATGTACATTACCTGCGAAAATACTTTGCAGACGTTTCTCGCGAGTAAAGCCATTTTTCAACGATGGACCCAATTACCCCAGTAGTGTCGTTCTCACTTTCGCACTTGCGTACCAGTAGCGTATCAAATTTGGAAACAAGGGGAGATTCATATCGACTTCTAATTCCTTGAAATCTCATTTTCATTATGTTATATAAATAATAAAAAGCGACTACAATTCATTTAATATTCAAATTGATGCTTTAATGTAAATGTTTTTAAAATGATAATGAATAATGTTCATATATACTTTCACGAACACGGCCCTGTTGCCTATATCTGGGTTTACTTCGTATTCTTTCGATGCATAGCGCGCATAGCGCTAAACATATGTTGATGATGACGTACATCGAGGGATGAATCGATACAAGTAAATACGAGTACATTACTCGATACTGTTGTTTCGATACCGCGTACTTTTGGTATCGATTCCTGCGGTTGCGATACCAATTAGGTATCGAACAAAAGTACTCGTATCGAATGGTGAGTATCGACCTGCGTAGTAGCACCGACTAGGTATAGGATAGACCTATCATCTTATGGGACTTCGGTCTCATGTTCTGAAATACCGATAGTGTAAAAAGTCAGGGATTTTCTGCTGCCCTCTACGTTATGATAACGGTTAAGTTTACAACATTTTTAACGGTTAAAGTTACTATGTAACTCAACTAGTCCAACTCCTACCATGGGGGGAAATCAATATTATTGACATTATGGAACATTTTTTTGTCTGCAGCCAATTTTGAAACGAACTACGCGATCATTTTGTCATACACAGGTGTTTATAACTGGTGATGAATGAATTGTTATTGTTAGTCTTGTCTTGTCAAAAGTGAACGATAATTACTTCGGAGGTTTATTTTTATTTTATTACTAATAATTCCATGATATATGTATATTGCATATCTTTGTAGCATCCTGAAAACGGGTATTAACGAGCCATTCCACGTCGAAACGCACAGAACTGCGATTTTAATGACCGATTTTTTTCGAATTTGCAGCATTTGTTGATAACCACACGAAACTAAATTGTGTAAAATTTTAGTTTCTAATCTTGAACCGTTTCCGAGAATTTCCCTTGCCGGAAGACTTACCGTAATGAGCTATCTGGTGGCCGCGGGATTCCGGGAATCGGTGACGTCACGGCGTGCGAGCGAGAGCGGTGGAGCGAACCGCGGTATCGGTGCTCTCCGTCGGTGTTGACGGGTGCCGAGGAATTTCGGTGGTCTATGGGAGGGAGGTGTGCGAGCGAGAGAGTACGGTAGAGCGTGCCGAGTATCGGTGCTCTCCGTCGATCCAACGCGCTAGTGAGTTGCGTCACCCAGTTTATTGACTTAGCCGTGTACGCCGTGTACCAAGGTCGTACCATCCCGTGCAGGTCTGTGCTTGCTTCCTCACTTTCTCGTGAACCGTCGCGGAGGGTGGTCGCGCGTCTCATACTCGTCCTTTCTCTTGTTACTAACCCATTGTTTGTTGCAGGCATTCGACAACCATCAATTTATTTACTGTGCATATTGTTGTGTCCCCTCTCTTGTTACTAATCCCTTGTATGTTACAGATGTTCGAGAACCATTGGCTTCGATATTTATCTTCTTATGTACTGTGATTCATTTAATGTGATTTATTTACTGTGCATATTATTTATTTATTTACTGTGCATGTTACTAATCTATATACTGTGCATATTGTTGTGTCCCCTCTCTTGTTACTAATTCCTTGTATGTTACAGATGTTCGAGAACCATTGGCTTCGATATTTATTTTCTTATTTACTGTGATTTATTTACTGTGCATATTATGTATTCTATGTGTATTGTATAATGAAAAATATTTTTCCAAACAGTTATTCCATCGAAAGAAGACATCGATCAACGTCTACATCTTCAAAGCGTGCGTCTACCACTGCGTTAAGTTACTGTAAGTTAAACTTAAATCATAATTCGATATTCATTGTTATATTCATATTCATCATCACATCGTTTATTATTAATTTTAGTCTATCTATTAATAGACTTAAATTGTGATCAGCCATTGTGCATACCAAGTTATTATTAATTCATTTTGCTCGTTGATTTCTCTACACAGACTTGGGGTATGGGCAGTGGGTCTGTACCTATTATGGTACGGGCAGTGGGCCTGTGCACTAAGACTGTTTGCCGATCCCTCTGGTTTCTATTGAGAAGCCAGATATCGGACGTGTTTAGTCTTTGCCTGGTAAGTAGGATTTGGAGTAAAGGCTCGTGCGCGCCTGGGTACAACGTACCCGCCTACGGAGTAGTCGGGAGTCTGCTCCGTAAAAGGACTCTGTTTTACAGGGGATCTCGCTTGCACTACCATACTTGGTCATGACCTGTGCTCGGGTCTGGTACGTAGGTGACCAGCCCAAAGGGCCTGGAAAGTGAGAGATGGATTCGGGTTTGCGAGGTTGCGCCCGTCTTTCCTATTTTCTTAAACCAGGTTCTGGCGACAACACTTTCATCGCGATACTTGTTCATACTGTAGTTTAACGTGGTTCATCGTAGAATTAATTTTTGGCTTGGTATATTAGGTGCGTAAACGAAATGATCGATGGAACTTTTTCCATTCCGTCTATCTCTTTCGTTTGAGTATTAGCGACTACATTGCGTTAAATTTGTTATTTCGTATTACTAGCATTAATTCGTATTAATTAGAATATTAAGATAATATTAGTTCTAAGCTGAAGAACGAAGACAACCGACGAGGGAACTTAGTTTTTTATAGGTTTAGGCTCAAGAAAGAAGTCATCCGCCGAGGGATTTTAGTACCGATAGTATTAGATAGTTAAGATTTAAGTTATTTATAAGGTTTATTGTGAAAGGTGGGAAGATGTAGAACTTGTGATTCCATCTACCTGCCTTGGGCCTCCACTCGCAGCAACCTCCTCGTGGTGAGGCCTGGGAATCGGTATTATCATCGGTAAAATACTGTAAACTGATGACAATATCGAGCTAATGGCTGCGAACTTCGAATCTATCTCATAAAATAACGTTCTATATTACATCGAACTAGGATTATTTTAGAAATCGATATGAGATTCAGTGTTCTAAAAATGTCTAGAACTTTGAATGTTATAGAAAATTATTTAGTGGATCTTGTAATGAAGCTTTATAAATGAATAACTTGTATTTTATCATAAATTATTAAACAACAACCCCGTCTTAGTATTTATGAGAAATATGAAATATTAATTATTTTTTTAAAATGATTTTAATTACGTTTTGTGCGTAAGATCAGGACAGAACTGCCCTAGACGTGTGGCGCGAGAATATTTAGGAATTTGTATTTTCATAAACGAAGTTAGAAACTAGTACTTGTGAGAACGGGCATCATTTTTCTTCGTCACGCATTAAAACATGGAAATTTCTAGTGATGGCAAAATGCAAATATCTCAATAATTAAGCGCTCAAAATGAACGTCATTAGTCTCATATTGTCCCTCAGGACTAATTGCAAAAGATTTCGATCGCATTTACACCGCTAAACGGGCATGATTCTTCTTCATTTTGCATTAGACACGACGTTTAAAGAACGTAGATTACTATTCTGTAACGGCTGGACACCAGTAATTACAAGAACATTGTTAAAATAGGATTTGCTTGCAACGGTTGACACTGTATCTCGTCATGCGTACCCCGGTTAGTTCACTTTGGACCACTCTTCCAACGTTATGCTGACGGTTCGCGTGTTGACCAAGCATTCAGATTGAAGCTTAAAGAACATAGATTAATCCCCTGTCATTGATAATAACAATAAACAACCAGAACACTGTCAAAATCGCATTTAATCGCGGATTACCACTATTTTTTTGACCCGTGGCGCCACCCGTGGCAATTCGCTCAAACTGCTAGCCAAATCATACCGACAGGTGAGTGAAAATTCCTAGTGACGGAAAAATGCGAATATCTCAGTAATTCAGTGTTCAAAATGAACGTCATTAGTCTCAAATTGTTCCTGAGGGTTTAACGCATCGACTCAATACTGCAGAACCCCAGGACTAGTAAAATTATTTATGCCTGTATTAACGTTGACCCTTATGGAGCGACAACCCTGTTTGTACAGATTTCTATCGGATTTACACAGCTAAACGGGCATCATTCTTCTTCGTCTTGCATTAGATACAACGTTTAAAGAACGCAGATTAATACTCTCCAGCGGCTGGGTACCAGTAATTACAAAACATTGATAAAATCTCAATTGTTTGCAACGGTTGACACTGTAGCTCGTCATCCGTACGCCGGTTAGCACACTTTGGACAACTCTTCCAACGTTATGCTGACAGCTCTCGTCTTGTCCCAGCATTCAGTTTGAAGCTGAAGGAACGTAGATTAATCCACTGTTATTGATAATAACAATAAACGACCAGAACACTGTTAAAATCGCATTTAATCGCGGAGTACCACTATTTTTTGACCGGTGGCGCCATCCGTGGCGAATCGCTGAAACTGGTAGCCATATAATTGACTAGCAGTTTCAGCGATTCGCCACGGATGGCGCCACCGTTCAAAAAAATAGTGGTACTCCGCGATTAAATGCGATTTTAACAGTGTTCTGGTCGTTTATTGTTATTATCAATAACAGTGGATTAATCTACGTTCCTTCAGCTTCAAACTGAATGCTGGGACAAGACGAGAGCTCTCAGCATAACGTTGGAAGAGTTGTCCAAAGTGTGCTAACCGGCGTACGGATGACGAGCTACAGTGTCAACCGTTGCAAACAATTGAGATTTTATCAATGTTTTGTAATTACTGGTACCCAGCCGCTGGAGAGTATTAATCTGCGTTCTTTAAACGTTGTATCTAATGCAAGACGAAGAAGAATGATGCCCGTTTAGCTGTGTAAATCCGATAGAAATCTGTACAAACAGGGTTGTCGCTCCATAAGGGTCAACGTTAATATAGGCATAAATAATTTTACTAGTCCTGGGGTTCTGCAGGATTGAGTCGATGCGTTAAACCCTCAGGAACAATTTGAGACTAATGACGTTCATTTTGAACGCTGAATTACTGAGATATTCGCATTTTTCCGTCACTAGGAATTTTCACTCACCTGTCGGTATGATTTGGCTAGCAGTTTGAGCGAATTGCCACGGGTGGCGC